ATCTCCTTATCGGCCAAGCGCAGCAAATGCTACATGTATCATTACGTGCTCTTGGTTAGGCCGTTTAGTTCACCCTAACCCTGCTCGCCATCTCTCAGATCTCTTCTTGATTTATTCAATTCATTCATTCAGTGTTTTTTATGCTTTCAGTTTTTTAAACCCTTCAAGCTTTTATGGACTCCGAAATGGTACTTTTACTTGACTTAGGATATGGCTTTTCGAAAACTCTCTCCCGCAGGAAATATATTTCCACAGTCTGCCGGCTTTACTGTTGGCTATGGAAAAAATAAATCTATGTCTTGAGTTAAGAAGAGGTAGAATCAAGCTGCATTTTTATTTTCTGGTAACAGAGACCACGGTATCGTAAAGTCCTTCGCATGATTCTTGCGTTTTAGCTTAGCCATTACTTTAGCATCATACCTTTCGAAGTACAGACGTTCAAGAGAGAGATTTCATTGTTCAGTTCAAACTTCAAGTACTCTCTGCTTTCGCTCTCTCTCTCTCTCTTTTTTTTTTTTTTACTGTGAAGCGCGCCTTACATCAGAGAAGAGCCTCGAGCTGAGCACATGATTTTATTAATCCACATCTATGACTCTTTTCTAACCCTCCCTTAAATTTCTATCATTACTTTAAGGAGACTACGCCACAGGGGGAAAACCCCTAATAAAGACTTCCACCGCAAGCATGCTGCCAAAATTAAAATTATTTTTTTTAAGAATTCAAAGAAAAGGGTGATTGATTATACAAGCCTTTGTAGGGGTTTTTTTTGGTCAAAATAATAAAATAAAAAACCAGCAGTAAATTACCTAGATTACATTTTTCTACTGCAGTTAACGCTGATGAAACGGACCCCAATATTTGTTTGTGATGTGTGGATCATAGTGAGGCGTTGAAGCTGTGCATTTTTTCCTATGACAATTTGTTATTAGGTCAGATGTTACACAGAGACAACACTGGAGTGTGGGGGTAATATTTGCCTCCATGTAAGTACTTCTCAAATAGTGGAGCCGTGAGGGGCTTCCAATGGAATATGGGACGCTGGACATCAGTGTTGTGATGCTGTAGTATTTCAATTCGTATGGGTGTGGGTCGGGGGTGGGCGTGAAAACATTTCTGTCCCCAAGGACGGGGGGTGGGGGGTGGGGGGGGGGGCATGACAGAAAATAATTGAGAACCACTGTTGTAAGGTGAGATCCATCCTCAAGGGTTTTATCTGCTGGGTTTGTTATTGCAGAGCAGGATATTGAAGCGTGGATGTGTCCACAGTAACGCCCAGATTATGACCTGATATGACCTCACTGATACGGCTGTCATGTTTGTCCCCAGGTACTTAGTCAGGGTGAAATGGGCTTTCATAGATTTCCAAGAGCGCGTGTAATATTGGAATCAGACATGACATTTACTCAGAGTGACTCATCGGCTATAAAAGGACGAGTTTTATACCGCTGTAGAGCTGTGTAGTTCATAGTCTGCAATGGAACTGAAAATAAAACTGCCTGTAACTTATGATGTTTAAGACAAATTTTATTACTAAATGCCGGCAAGTAACTAGATACTTATTTCATGTTCAAATCAACAAGGTTATTGGTTGGTGCTGATTCCTCACATCTAAAGGTTGTTGGTTCAATATTCTTCCCAACTTCAATTGTAAATGGATGTTTATTTGCATGTACAGGGAGGAACTGTATCCTTTGTTGGGAATCCGTTCATATGGCGCAACGTAGCTCAATTTTCTGATGAACTCACATACACCGTACTCTGGTACCTGTGTCACTCACCTACGCTAACACATGGTAACATCATAATCTAGGACATAAAAACATCAGAAGACTTCGACTGACGCCTGGGAGGCAAAGGTTCCCAAAACAACAAGAACATCACGAACGAAAGAAATGTAGCAAAATCCAATGTATGGAGTCCAACGGCGAACGTAAACAAAGCCGTCTTCTGCACATAATTAATTAATACATTTACGGGAGATGGCGGAGGTGGTGGTAGTGGGGGAGGGAAGGAGGAAGCTGAGTCAAGCGGTAGATATAATGTGACCTCTCAGTCTGCTGTGCCAGTTCCTCGTCCTCATCATTTCTTCATCACAAAAGGTATCAATGATTCTTCTTTTCCGATACAGATCGGATGTTCAATTTTCCGTAATCTCTGGACTCCGCTTTTATCAGCAAATTTTGTTCCTCTGAATTAGGCACGGGCAAACTAAGGCCCGTGGGCCGGATGTGGCCCATTAAGCTTTAACACGCTCCATCTTTTTACTCCTGACCCGGCCCCAAATTTTAGGACAATTGTGGCCTACAAGTCAAAAGGTTTGCCTGTGCCCAATAACTACAATAAAATCTTCCGAACTCTACTCCCCCCTGAACCTTCCTGCAGGTGGTGAGTCCACTGGAAGGTACCACCCTGGTGTTGCACATCAATGAAATAGACATTGCCTCTGGGCCAAAACGCCACCTCTACTTCAATCTGATCATCAAAATGGTTTGTCTTTCAAAATCTTTGAGTCCGCAAGGTACATGCATGTAGGGACAGAAAAAACGAAAAGATAGCGCTAAGCTAATGTCATGCATGACTGCACTCTGATCCTACACCTGGAAGCCGCTGGGATCTTCCTCTCATATCTCGAATCAAACGAATTAAAAATAAATTAAAACGCCCATTGTTGTGTTGTCAGGCAGGTTTTTCAAAGTGTCAGAGCTGCAGGTGAAATCACAGTGAAGAGGGAAATCTGTGCCAACAATACCAAAAAAAAAAAAAGAAAATCATAAAGTTTCACCCTACAGCAGGAGAGGGAGACATTTGTGAATCTTCTTTAAACCTCAGCTGCACTTTCACCAGATGTTCCTTGGCCTTGGGAGTTGTGATGAAATAGTAGTTAAATTTTAAAGCTATAGAAGGGAGAATCGACTCTTGGGTCTTATTTCCAGGTCGTTAAAAAAATGAATGTTTGGTGTTGGATGTTCTTTGTCTTCGGCTCCTTCCACTAGAGGAAGTCAGACAGCTTTTCTTTCAGTCCATGACCTTCCAAGACTTTTTTCTGTCTCTGAAAGCTTTTTTTTTTTTTTTTTTTTTACATGAGGTCTTAAAGCATTTTTGGTCGTTACTGCTAGTGTTACAATCACAGCTGTTGTCAATGTGTACATGACTATAAAAATCTGGGAATTTTTATTGACTATCCCAGCTTTTAATTAAGTGCGATCTTATATGCTTTGGATCCGAGGTGTCTGATTATTCCTTTTCAAGAGCATCCAGATTTACCTGAAGGCCAAGTGCTCTTGCTGTGGTACTTGAGATTGTAATTATATTTAAATGTTAACCAACACACCGCGGTCTTCGTGACTTTATTGATGTGCGTGACAAATTGGTTTATCAGTTATGGAATCCGGGCCACCCATTTTGCAGATTTATTACATCATTCATTTATCATAACGCATTTCAATGCATTATACTTCAGATAGCAAAGCAAACAGCTGTAACGCCTGGCTGCTTAGGCTACGCAAAGATAGTAAAAATTGAATGCAGTAGTCCCTCGCTATTTTGCGAATCAATTACCAGAAACGTCCCTTCTGATGTTCTCAATTTTTTTAAAAAATGCAGTTCTTTTGGTATTTTATCACTAAAGGAGAGCTGTAGTTATGATTTACCCTTAAGTACTCATAAACTTCGGAGTCCTTATTCGGTGGGCAAGCATGGGTTTGCGTTAGCATGTTCTGCCTCTTGTTTTGGCAATTTTGTCACGTTGGAATAAAGAATAAAACAGAAAATGAACAACGTTGTTCGTTTTAAAGAAGATGCTGTCGAAGCTTTGATGAAACTCCGGGGCGCAGGTCTTGCAGAGAGCAACACAAGCAGTGGTCTGTCCGTTTCCAAGCGAGTGCATGTTACATTTATAGTGTGCTGGATACATTTGTGTGTGCGTACAAGAATATGAGTGCACGTCATGCTCAGTACAATCGCCACCTGTGAGATTATCTGGCCTAACAGTAACTCAAAACAGGGAGTATGTGGATACACTTTTCAAGGCCTTACAGGAACCTGAGAAACGAGGATGAGTAGATTTCCCATCGCTGGCTAGCGTGCTGGTCGTCAAATGGCGAATAATAAGACAGGATATAATTTTGTCATAACACTCTAAAAGGACAAGGTTAGCGGTTGCGGTGTTGATTGCAGTCTTACACTACCTGACTGAGGACAAACACATCAGGAAAATCATGCAGACTAATGCACGGAGAGAAACGGAAGGTTTATAAGACAGTAGTGAGAGCTGCTGTGATGTATGTCTCGCAGACAGGTCGATGGTTGTATGTGGGACAATTCTGAGAGGTTCCGTATCTTTAGATGTGTCATGCTAAAGCGGTTTGGCATTGAGTGACGCCAAGGGCCTTGAAAATACATTACTGTCTATGACTGTACTCCCAACTATAGACTATGAACTAAATATAAGAACTGGACAGAGCCATCTTCTGTCCCCAGTGTGAAGGACACAGGCCTTTGGACTAAAGCTACTTCTCACTCGTCGTATTACATTTGCGCATTCTAATCTTTGGAAATCTACAGAAAAAAATATTTGGACTAAAGCTACTTCTCACTCGTCTTGGAAATCTACAGAAAAAAATTAATATAATTTATAAAACACACCAAATGGTGTGTACGTTTTCTTGGATTTTCGTACAATGTTCACTATTCCTGAGCTTTTGTAGTAATGCTGACGTTGTTCTTCTCCATGTGGAAGGTCTTAAATGGCTCTTCCCAGCTAGTTACGTTTGGTTCGAAGTTTAGCTAAGGCATTATGTGGTTATGGTAAGTCCGAATGTAAATAAATGAAGGTCGGGGGCAGAGTCCCGACAAGAATAGCTGAGCAAACGTGTGCGCGTGTGTGTATATTTATGTGTGCTTCGAGTAGTAACGGCGTCTCAGCTTTCCCCGCCTCCTTTTCTCTTCCGTCCAATCAGAGCCAGAGAAACGTCCACACGGGGGCCTGTTCTCTGGTTCTCTGCGGCGGCGGCGGCAGCGAGTAGAGCAGACGGTGGGGGAGGGTCACGTGTGTACACAGTGTGGGGCTCAGCGGCTCTCCAGCAGTAGTAAAAAGTCTGCGTCGGACGGCCCCCTTTTTCAGAACAAGCCTCGTCCAAGAAGTTGAGTGGATGTGAAGCAGAGTTGAGAGTCCAAATGCGATAAAAACAACTCCTTTGGCTGCGGCAGGACTACTAGACTAACCCGGAGCGTGTGCTTTTCCAGGATCTCACCCACTTAGGAGCCGTGTTGTCAAATGCAAGGAACGAGAAATGTCCGTGAAAATGCTACATCCCAACTCAATGCCTCCGTAGGTTTGTCACCGAGCCAAGTCCATACGATTCTGGTAAGTGTTAACGTTCGCTCCGTCTACTCTCTCACTATGTTGTGCTTAAAAAAACAAAACCCTTGATGAAATGTTATCTCCACGGTCACACGGAGGTGGAATTAACGTATATATATATGAAAAAAAAGAAAACCCTGTGCTCTAGACTTGGCAACAATAGTCTCAGAAAAGGGAGGAATACAACACCATGACAACTGTCCACGCTTTTTTAACGCACAAGCAAGTAGTAAAAGAGAAACCCGCAGTGTCTGCAGTCGTAACAATGATTATTTTTGTAGTAAATCACAGACCTGCAATAGTTAGCGTTGTTGTTTTAACCTCCAGTATACTGTGGGTACAGACACCTGAACCCGTTTCTCACGGGATCATCTTTCTCCGGTGCTGGGAAGAGAGAGAGAGAGGAAAAAAAGAAAAAGTTTTATCAGTTCAATCAAAGTCCCATTTGCTCAAGACATTATTGCAACGTGACCTGAAAAAAATTAAAAATTATATATATATATGTATATATGTGTATATATTTATATATGTGTATATATATATATATTGACTTTGCTCCGTACTCCATTTGTCTATTATTATTATATAGGGTATAAATGTATTATATATTTATAAATATTATAATATATTCTTATATTCTATATTTTATAAAGTATTAACGCAAATAAGTTGAATAGCTGACCAACATACAGTGCTAGTGATATATTTTAAAGCAACATTAGTTTATCTAGGTTCCTCAACGTCGGAAGATTAGCAAAAATCTGGACATTTATGTACACTTTTATACAATCTTAGGGGTTCAAAACACATAAAGGTGGATTGAAAATGAAAGTCTTTTTATTGTGGAAATGTTGTACCTTACAGTATGGTGAAATGGTTAGACACAGCAGAATTAATTTACAACTTTAGTCCTAACGGTTTGTCTCGCGACTGTAAAAAGGCTATAGAATTTCACCAAAAAAATAAAATAAAAAATTGCGTTACCAAAAAAAAAAAATTTAAAAAAAATGCAGCTCTGTTCTCCATTAAAAAGCCCATTGTATTTTCCCACTGAAAGCCAACGCTAACAGAACGCCAAAGTGACTCCGTTTATCATGTGATGTTTATACGTGATACACACAAAAAGGAGGGCAGCACTATTTACACTGCTCTTAATACGGACCACTGCTCTCACTTACAGGAACAGGCTATATTAGGAGTCTTTTTTTCTGTGATTCTTTGTTTGATGACAAATATACTTTAAGATCTTCTTATCAGCAAAAGACAAAAAAGTCTAGCTTTGTTTACAAAACATCTCCAGTCAAATACCCGATTTCACTGTTTTCATGAGACAGTTCCAGATTCTAAGAGGAGGCCATCCGTACCCATGTATTAACCACCTGCCTTTCTTAAACGCATCTTCCCTTTCAAGTTCTTTTTAATCAAACACGTTTGATCAGAACTTCAAACAGGAGACAGAAGTTCAAATTCAAGGGTTAATGCACACCAGTAGGTACCACGTGATCCTGCAGAGGGCAATCTAAAGCAAAACAGACCTGCGGTGCAGACAAGTACAACACTTGTGTCTGAGTAGGAATGTATTTTTGGTTCACTTGTTCTAGAGAACAGTAGTGTATATCCATCCATGACTGTTTAGGTCACTTTCCTTTTGTTGTTCACTCGGTTCTGCAAATCACTTCACAGGACAACCAATCCACCAATAAAAAAAAATATAACTCAACTTTATTGGTAAAGCGATACCTTTGGCCAAAGTAGAGTACACAAACATGGGAACATGACTACTTCACCCTTGCACAGAAGCAGGTATTGGCAGGTTTCAATGTGTACCACACCACGCAAAGTAAAGTTGTCAAATCTTTAATACTTTTTGTCATGCTCTTATACTTGCCCCCGGCCTAACCATTGAAACACAAACGCCTCATCCTTACTCTGTCTCTTAGTCTTGAACTAAGAGACACAGTAAAGTGCCCTCTGACTGTCAGTTGCACTTGTCGCTGGCACTTTTGTCCATTTGTCCAAAGGCTGTGTGTGCTTAATGTCTGTAAGCCCACTCGATGCTGGTCATTGACCTCTGACTGATGCCAATCTGACAGTTCAGCATGCTGTCACAATGGGATTCAGGGAAGAGTGTGGTGTCTGAGCATGAGTCATGGTTGACCCCAAGCCTGATTCCACCGAAGCATCTTAACAGGAAAAACAATTTATTCAAAGATGTTGCGACGCTGTGTTACATCAGTCAGAGAGTACTTTTGAAATACATGTACAATATATACATGAGAACTTTAAACATGTTAATATGTAATGCACAGTCAAGACTTTAGTAAGTTTACATTTTCTGAATAATCCTGGCATAGCTACTTCATTCATGCGCTCATTCGCCGGTTGCTACCAAAATTAGCATTTGAAAGAAACCACCAAACAGTTTGGAGCGTGCAGGTTCAGTGTCTTTTGAATTAACGATCTACCCCTCATTTTCTTACGAAGTTCAAAGTAGTGATTTTTGTTGAAGACCATAATTTAATATTCTAGAATTTGAAATGCCAGAAAGACCACGTCAACCCTAGCACAGCTGAAAATGCGAGTCGTGTGGTCTTATTTCCTTTGTGATGTACAGTACTTGTTCTGCTGCCGTTGCTCCATTGCACACGACTGCAGGCATGAACAGCCAATCATGTGACATCACTCAGTGTGTTCTGAGAAGAGCCTGTAAATTCCAGTAAGGATATATGAGGGGTGTGGGCCTAATATGTCACACTACTCCCATCAGCCTGCGAGATCTGGCTGCAAAAACAGACGTAAAGCATGCGGGCGTTTCTGTTACAAGATCGTGTTTGGTGGGGCCGACGAAGCATGCTATAGCAGGACCTCCCCCTTCTGGGAGTATTTATCTTAACCGTGTCTGACATAAAATGCTGCAGAAAGTTCAACTAGGGATTTGACCCTGAGTCAAGAGCTTCACTCAAAGTCACGGTCAAGGGGAACACAACACAGACCTCATCACGTTTGTTAAAGGGCTAAGTACTACAGCTGTGTAGTTTTACTTCCGTTGACCTTTTACGTACGCATATTACAACAATGCATTTGAGTAAATTACACGTCAGTCAAGTTTCCTCTAAATGTTAGTTTTCTATACTGTAAATAGTGTTCGGAGAGACGAGTCAAGTTTCCTCTAAATGTTAGTTTTTCTATACTGTAAATAGTGTGTAAAGTGTAAACGGTGAGTAATGAAAGAACATTTCGAACATTATTTCTATACCTTGACTTAAGATATACATTTATTGGTATACTTTAGAGCTACTGTATCATAATCATAATCACGGTGATTTTATCTATCTGGTTTCCAATTCTGAAAAGTCCAAACTTAGTTGATCCTGAGCCAGTAGTTCAGAACAGTGTGTCTCAGTTAAGCAGTCACATGTGTCACATTGTTAATTTCCACTATCGATTTTGTCAGATGAAAGCATGTACAAAAATAAAAGTTTTCTTCTGCACAAAGTGTACTTGTCATAACTAGTCATTTGCGAAACATTTCCCACAAACTGAACCGAGTCACAGGATTTCTCAACAGCTTACAAATAGTGGAAAGAGGCGCTTTATAAAAATTGGTTTTAATAACTTACATGAGCACTCTCTCTTGCTTGACTTGATATGAAATGTCCAACTTAACTAAATAGAAAACGTTCATACAGTTTCTCCTCTCATCTACCAGATACCCCGCCAAAATAAATCCTTTTTAATAAGTCCTTTTTTTATGTTTTAAGTGTTGGATTAGGTACGCCGTACCAAATGACCAACTTAGAAATTGTTTATCCCACAGTCGTGGCAAGTAAAGTACTTCCAAGCCAACATATTAGCTCCGACTAATCTTCCTCTCCTCGCATACGCAAACTGGCCAAAAAACAAACATTCCTAAAAATTGTTCGAATTTTTATAAAATTTTATTTGATATTTTAGTTATTGGTTTATTAATTTGTTTTCATGGTTAAATAAGTACTTCCTATAAGAGAAAATTGAGAATGCTACCGTATATAATAATAAAATGTGTGATAAAATGTGGACAACCAAAGATAATTAGCAAGAATGTAGGCCGACTAACTTTGAATGGTCTACATTTAGACAAAAGTTAGCAAATTAGCGGTAATCAACTTTGCCCAGATGTAGTTGCAGTGTTGTCCGGAAAAGGCAAAAACAGCTCGAAGTCAACCACAAAAACAAGAATGTAAAAAGATATTAAGGTATCCCATGAGAGTAGAGCCTGTTGCACAGAAATATTACTGATTTATTCAATAATTGTCTAGGAAAGAGATTAGAGAGATAGAGACAAATGTTTGAAGTTTGAATTAATTTGAATAAATTAAATTAATTAAATGCCTCTGTGCTTGGATCAGAATATTTGCGTTTACCCCGTTCCCTGTTTTTCCCTCAGTTGAGTGGAAAAAATGCAGTTCATTATCACAGACTGCTGGCATAATGTGCAGCGGTGCAGTGCAACAGCAGCTTATGCACACCACATATTTGGCCTCCAGTGATCTGAGGCAGACGGGGAGGTTCTGTAGTTGTTGTTTAAGGTGGAAATCTTTGAAGTGTTGACTATAACCAGGTGCAGTCTACAACCGGATCAAATTTGTTTCTGGTATTAACCGTGTTTTCAGTACCTTGTGCCAAGTTTAAGGTTTGTCATTTTCCATTTTCCAGTTTGTAATTCGCCAACAAAAGCATCCATGTACATTATCTAATGAGGCATTGAATTTAGAAACTAGATAAGGGCAACTTTTCTTCACAACGTGGTGGTTCGAATTCACACGGTTGATTTACTCGTGGCAACATCAACATGTCCTTTCCAGTCAGTTGGGAAAATGCACAACTTTAAAAGTTAAAGCTGTAAAAGTTACTGATTGGCCATTTGAAGCTTGTCAAGTAACCTGACTTGACTTGACAAGCATAAGATAGCCCGACTTTAAAGTTGCGAACTTTACTCCTAAGAGGATACGTCATTGTTTTTAAACTCCTCTAAGACACAATTGAAGAGGCCGCGGAAGCTCCAGCTAACCATCCACCATCCATTGAGAACAAGATACACAAGACTATGTTTTCAGTCACATATTTTAAAAAGTAATGTAATTTAGCTAAAGTAATTATCACAACATGCCGAGAGCCATATAAAAGTAGAGCATTATGAAGGATAAACGGCCTACATGGGAGACAAGCTTTGTCTCTGTCATATATAGACTTCAGTTTTGTTATGATTTACATTTGTGTACTTGTTTTATCGCAACTTGATGACTGATCCAACAAAAAAAATCGGTCGCAGACCTCTGATTTAAAGGCCCTAACACAAAAACTGATGAATCTCTTGGCGTTTTAGGTCAAAATGATGAACCTAAAATTCTTATGAGGCACAGAAAACTAAAACCACTTCTTCAACTTCTAAATCTAAAAACAGGAAGTCACAGGTGCGCAAGTTTCCAGACTACCTGTTAACTGGATGCTATCCGCAGTCACGACTGCTTTATAACTGCTTATTTTGGCTTCTTCAAAGACAACGCCAGTCGATTGCCGAGGATTAAACCCCCGGCAGAAATTACCCTAAAATAATCTCCTTTGATACTTTATTATTTGAGGCTTTTGAACTGTCGGAAGCTGCAGGCTCAAACCAGTAATGAGAGGGAAGAGATGTCTGTTTACGACAGGTGCTAATTAATAGTGACACCCCATGGAAAAAAGCAGTCAGCTTAATGGTAGCATGCTGAAGCTCTTGCCGAAAAAAATAAGGTAACCGACATCGCTGTCGCTGGAGTGTTAGTAACAATGTAATCCAGGCAAAACCAGATGGAGTATATCACCATAGAGCAGTGTACTATAAAGATTGGCTTAATTTTGGATTTAATACCAAGCAATTTAATGCAAGAATAATGCAAATAATGCCAGCGTATGCATTTGGAAAGTAATGCTATCTATCAGATTGAATCTGTATTAAATAAAAATTTTTAAAAAATCAATGAAGTAATGTATTCCATCCAAAAAAAAAAATCCATTTGTTTTCATACGACTATATTTACTAATGTTGGAGTTGTCCCTTTAATCTGAACTTGGCATTTAAAGGTCATGGGTTTTTACATGTCTAGCCAAGACCTTGAAAGGAGGCTTATCTACTCCTCTGAGGCACCGAATCAGAAACCTCATCTTCAACCAAGAGTCTGTGCTTTCTTTAGACAAATCTGTTGGATTCCGTCATATCTAATCACTTAGACGTCTTTGAAAATACAACAAATGTCAGAGGACGCCAAGCACAACAACACTGACATCTAAGTTTATGTTCCCATCGAAAAAACAAAGATATTACAATCCAAAAGGATAACAAACTTCTTTTTTTTTTGTAATAAACAAACGTCTTTAAACTGATCCTGTAGTCACATTAGAAAGTGCTTGGCGCTATGTCTTAATCTTAGGTGTGAAATGATCGGTGCAGTAACTCTTTTCTTCTCTGCCTGCAGCTGACCTGTTGAGCTTGCTTGACCGGTGTCAGAGGCCAGCGATGTGGATCTGCATGGTTTACAATGAAACCGACACCAGCGTGGACTTTCACCTCTGTGAGAACTTTAGCCTTATTCTGTCGGTCTCCTCGCTCATCTACCTCCTGGTCTGCTTCCCACTGGGCCTGTGCTACAACATGCTGCTGGTCGCAGTCAACCTCTCCAACAAGGTCTCCATGACCATGCCAGATGTCTATTTTGTCAACATGGCCATCGCGGGTCTGGTTCTTAATGTGGTCGCACCCATTGAGCTGCTGAGCCCCACCTTCACCCGCTGGAATGTTTGGGAGTACAACAACGAGATCTACATCACCCTGCTCATCCTGTTCAACATCTCATCCCTGGTCATCATGTATTCCACCACGCTGCTCAGTCTGGACTACTACATAGAGCGTGCGCTGCCTCGCACTTACATGTCCAGCGTGTATAATACCAAACATGTGTGCGGCTTTATCTGGGGCGGCGCGGTACTCACCAGCTTTTCCTCGCTGCTTTTTTATGTGTGCAATCACATTTCCACCAAGATGGTTGAGTGTTCAAAAATGCAGAACAAGGAAGCCGCGGATGCCATTATGATGTTTATTGGCTTTGTAGTTCCGGCTGTGGCTGTTCTTTATGCCTTTGTGCTCATTTTGCGCATCAGGAAGGAGTCCACCCCTCTGGACCAAGACTCTGCTCGCTTGGACCCTTCTATCCACAGGCTGCTACTAGCCTCAGTCTGTGTACAGTTTGTACTCTGGACCCCATACTATATGACCCTTTTGGTACACACTGTGGCTGGTGCACCGGGATACCTTAGCAATCCACAATACTTACCCACCTATTATTTCTTTAGGTGTGTGTCGAAGTTGTTGGCCTTCTTCAGCAGTTTTGCCATGCCGCTCATGTACAGACAGATGAATAAAAACTTCTCCAACAAGCTCCAACGGCTCCTCCGGCGGCTGCACTGCAGAGATCAACCGTGCGCTCATGAACGCTCGACAGTTCAGCAAGTAGTGTCATGAGGACGCCCAACTCTTAAAGGCTACTCTGCAAGGCCTGGTCAGCACTTATTCACCATGTTCCTCACCAGAGACAGAATCAAACTGTTTTGCCTTGGTGCTACGAACTGAGTTAATTGACAAAGCTAACTCTCTTGTCTCCTTAAAAAATGGTATCTAATCTGCATTGAGTGAACTGAAAAAAAAAAAAACCAAACACCTAGAGCTGCTTTTTTTGTCCTAGATACAAGTCTTCCTGTATCAGGGTGAAAAATTTGGCTCAACCCGTTCACACTAGTGACAATGTATACATTCGTAAGAAGGTGCGGTTATTGAGACTCTCTCTCAAGCACTGTTCCTTTCGCTTTGGCTGTTGTGTGTTCATGCATGACTTCCCAATACTACTGTAAAGTTCCAATATGCTAGAGGAATACACAAGCTGAACAAGGGCTATCACTTTTTTTTTTTTTTTTAAATCGTAAAAAATCTCCCCAACCCACATTCAGAAGAAACTCCACAGCACAACATTTTGTGAGCACTATTACAGCTTACCTACAGTTCTGAAACACTCTAGAACTCCAGAGACCTAAACATGTGTGCACAGGATGAGCTAACAGGCAATAACACCTACCTAAGTTCTCATTGTATATTTGCCAATTTGGCATGCCAAAAAAAAAAAAACGCAAGAGCTCAAAGATACCTGCCCGGGCAGCCAAGCAGTACTTTCAAGGATGTACAGAAGACTTGAACATCAAGAGTGTTTCGATGACCAGCTGCTGGTTGCGTTGAACCATGATAATTGGCTGTTGTTTATTTTCATCTTCGAAGATCAGAGCGTGGCTTGCCTGCTAACCGCAAAAACACCAAACTAGATCCTGCTTGTTGTCTAGGAAATAATTGCGTTGAAGTGGGTGAGCTTCAACGATTATTAAAGTGGCATTAGTGTTAAAGAACACAATATGATTTTTTTTTTTTTAAAGTAGTTAATTCCACTTTCCTCACTTATCACGAGCCTCATATATTTATGCTTATAAGCTCGCCGAATCACCGCCCTTTCATACGGATGGTAGGTTTTAATGTCAAACAAAGGGCTCATGCATCATACGTCAACTCCTCCAACCACTCTGAGTCGTATTTTATTGTTTAAATATGCTCTTACTCCTACACTCAAACAGATGTTTAAATTTCAGATGACAAGTGACAACCCAAACCAGAACCAGGAAGCTATAAACTTTTATTGTCAAGTGACGTCAATCGTGCAGCGTTGTCAAAATTGCACACCAACATCCATGTTTGCTTTCCTGAAGCTACGGGCTTCAGTCACACAAACGAGAACGAGACGGTGTCAAACCTTATTCCTCACAGGTGAAAGACTACAGTAACAGTCGCCTCAGTTTCTAAAGCTGTTTTCTTCACGTATACCGTAACTCTAATGTAGTTATAAGTAGCTGCTATTGTGAAGAGTTGTTCGCATCGTTTTATTTAAAAAGAAAAACGAAAAAAAAAATCCTGACCTTTTGAGCCACTCGCAGGCAAAAAAAGTAGTTTTTTTTTCTAACATGTGAAGCTCTGCAGTAAATATTCTTAACCACATCATGTTTATATCACACATAATTACGTCATGTGCTTGTATCAACATTCAGGGTTCATTCAAAAACCGGTTTACCTCTTGTGCTCTCTGCTGAGGTCACATCACATTTCTTCTGTAGCCAGTAGTTTAAATCATCTCTAATTTAAGCCACAGCTCCAGCTAAGTATGTTTGGCCTGTGTGGGTATTATGCATGCAGAACCCCACACAGGGACAGTCGAGTCAGCAACAGGTCATTAAGAAACCCCCAAGGAGTGGGAATGTACATTCCCTAAATTGCATGCACGCTTTACGAGTGGTTTGGGAGAAGAGGTCCCTTGAAATATGCAGCCTGACCCAAATGGTCCAGGGTAAACATCAAAAACCTTTGTTCAGAGACTCACCTGCCAATCGTAAACATCAAAAACCTTTGTTCAGAGAGTCACCTGCCAATCAACTAGCTACAAAGAACACAATTGACACACGAAAGTTGCTCACATGATTCCAAATTGTGAAAGGAGCAATAAATGATTTTCACCGTTTCTGCATATGTTGATTTGTTTGTTTTGTCTTGTATGCGTTACTTTGTCATTAAAACACAGAGAAAGAACAAAACATGTGAAAGTACATGTAAGTCACTACGACTGCTCTTTGTCACTGATTCTGTTCCTAACCTTTTGGGATAGATTTTCTAGGCAAGAAGGGGCATTGTGGGGATCCGAATTTGATGGGTTGAGGATTCGGTTGCTGCTTTTTGCAGATGATGTGGTTCTGTTTCAGGTCTTATTGGAAAGGTGCGCAGTCGGATGTGAAGCTTCTGGGATGGAAATCAGCAGCTCCAAATCCGAAGCCATGGTCCTCAGCGTGTGTCCTCTATGGTTCAACAATGACATTCTCCCCACTTGGAGGATTTCAGGTGTCTGGGGGTCTGGTACACTAGTAAGAGTAGAATGGAGCACGAGTTGATGCTTTAAAAAACGTTATTGATTCCACACTGGGGAAATTCTTTTGTTAACAGCAGATCTGCTTCAACAGGCTGCCCAACGGGAGGTGCCAAGTAAGTGGTTCCTCTGGGACTAGAACCCAGGACCTTCTCTGTGTAAGCTTGTTGTCCTTGCATTGGTTCCATTGTGTGGAACCAATGCAATGTCCCAGTAAACAGGAAAAGGTTAAGATGTAGGTAACCACATTCTAAGAGAAGGTGTTGTGCAAGTTGATGTCAAGCGAACCGGGCAAACACAATCATAACATAATTACCTATAAATAACATTAAGTTTGCATGAAATGTTTGTGCCTGTTTCGGCCCACAGGCCATACCTTTGACCACCCCTGCTTTAGATTCTCAGTATGTGACCGCTCTTGTGTGACAATCAAGAGTGGTGGGATCTGGGGGGTAGCAACAATTCAAACATTCTGGGAATTGTTTTGTCTCCACCTGGGTCTGACAGTCTGACAGTGCTGCCATTCACCATGACAGGAATGTTGTGTAGGCTACAGCTGAAAACAGTACTGTCTGCATTCAGAAAAGAACCAAATGCACGACTGCACGTGAGCAGACTATAGAGAATGCACGCCTTTGTCAGAACAAGCATTATAATTTGATAAGATAAAAACGATAGCACGACAAAATAAGGTCATGTGTGTGTTCAAAACGAAACTATACCAGTCTGGCAGCAGGAGGGCGAGGTTTGGGTTTGACCTATAGAGTGGGTATGATGATTTACCTTGAAATATGAACAGATTTAGGCTATTTGTACTAAACATCATTTGATTTTTTTTTTTTTTTTTGTCTGTCTGTCTGTCATTGTTCTTCGCTAGCTATCAGTTGATCTTGAACTTCCTCCTTGAAATATCCTGCTAAACATCCCCTTTTCAGGATCCAGTTTTCAGCAGAATTCCTGGACTTCCTTGTTGATTTTATCAGTCAAATCAGTTTCGGGCAGCTCTTTAATTCATGGGCAAAAGCTGTGTTTTTTTTCCTGACAACAACTTTTAACGCTAACAACAGTCCGTTTACATTGATTTAATTTCTGGCCCCGGCAGTCTAAACATGCTGTACATGGTTCCTGATGCTCCACTTCCTGTGGAGGAAATTTCCATTTACCCTTAATTTAAAGTCAGTATATCTGTGGGAGGAAACCAGGAAGACCTACGCTCATACTCAGGAAGCACAGGCAAAGAACATGCAAATTTGAGACACAATGTAAATCTGTGACCTTCTAGTAACAGCGGTTATCAGTGTCCCATTGATAATAATAATAGTAATGATGAAATCATATATTTTGAAGAGCATCGTACAAGAATCGCTGAACCCATCTGACCCGAGTCTTGGTGGGTTTGATTGAAAGCCTCACCTCGCTCATGGCTCAACTGCTGTGCCCACAACAAGACAGTTTAGATTCAATCTCACCACATTCAGACAGTTGTTTCTATTTTCTCTGCCACAACCGCACAAAGATGAAAACAGGCTGATACACACTGGTCTCCCTGTCACCAAACGGCAGACAGATGCATTTACAGCGACAAACCAAACTCTGCACAATAATTGCTTTCTGGTGGAGCATAATCCAGTGAGTTGTGTATTGCGTCAGCTGAGTCAACAATAACATTTTCAGGTTGACAAAAATACAGAAGATAACCGAGAAAATATACCCTAAAATTGTCCTTTAGAATGTCACGGCAGTGACACTAATGGTCCTGCAATACACTAGAACATGTCACTCTAGGCCCCTGTAACACAGACAACAACTGTGTTTTGCTACGTAAGGACTTACAACCATTGTTTTGTCTATTATATGGAAGACAAGTAGTTATGTTGTACATCATAGATTATCATAGATACTGCAGGCTTTGTTTGGAGATAACAAATAGCCAAAACAAAAGCAAAGGGGTATCGACATATCGCTAACAAAGAGCAAAACCTCTAGGCAGAAAGGGAAGTGCAGGATCAAACCAGCGAGAAATCTAGAAGTTCACTTCTAGAAAGAAAATGATCCCGTGCGAAAGCAAATAAAGTAGCATTAAAGGTTGACCAAAAGAAAGAGTTAGCTATAGCCAAAAGGCTAACAAATTGACAAAATCTTAAAAATAACAATAACGTCAATGATATAAGTTTTATGTAAAGTTTAATACCCACAATGCAACTAATAATTCTCTAAAATTACTCTACGATAAAAATAAAACAATAGTGGGGCGATAATGATGCAAAGATGTAGAGATTATGAAGGAAGGTTTCTCGCTCAGGTGGAAACCGAACCACCAACGGGTAACTGGCTAATGGCTAATTACATTTGTATATTCAATAGCATATTTAGAACATTTTTTAAATCACGGATCAAAAAACAAACATGAAATGAAATGGATCCACGTGTCATATTAGACTCTTCACATGGTTCTGTATATAAAAACCCAGAAAGGCCTTCAGCATATTCAATAGCATATTTAGAACATTTTAACATTTTTAAAAACCCAGAAAAGCCTTCAGTGATCTGAGAACAGGGCAGTGCTGACATTGCACAGTTTCTTTTGTGCTACATTAGTGCTAATGTTGTTTTTCTCCTTCCGAGGTTCAGGCCAGACCAAAGGTATGAGGGTCAGTTCCAGTCGCATGTAAAGCCCTGAGCATCAGACCACCTATGTAGTCAGAACAGTGGGCTTGTGGCTTTAAATATTTAATCTGGCCGCCAACCAACTTTCACACACAGCTCCAGACCACCGTAGATTTTCTGGATGACGCTCGGCTCAAAGCCTGCGGGAAATAAAGTGGGAAAACGTCACTGGAAATAGGCTGAAGATTCCATCAGTCAGAGGGAAGTCGCAGAGACAGAGACGCGTTCTATCTATCTATCTATTTACTCATATAAGCTGAGCATACTTAATACATACATTGTATGTTGTGATACTGATTAAATACTGATAACAAAATGTCATAGTGTAAAGCCCATCAAAGTGAAATGTGTTGTCAAATCTCCACTAGATTGAAGTGGATTAACAGCTTCCTTCAAAGGAGTTGCTGCAAAGTACGTACAAGCAAGTCTAGGCAAGACCAAGCAAATGTGGAGGTATCACGCTAGCATATCAAAAGAGTACAGTATATAGTTACGGAGCCTCGGTATTATCCAAACCTGCTTTATAATGACATGAGAAGATGCCCCCGGGGGTATCTGGGCAAGGTTGAACCTGCCATATTAGAAAAAGTGCAATAGCTCTATTCATCCTACCAGTGTCTGCAGAAAATGATAACAACCAAACTTAGAGTTTTAACTCAATTATTGTTACATGGAAGCCAGTTAGGGTGGGGGTGAGGGGGCAAAAACCACCCTGTGACCATGGGGTAAAAGCTATGTTAAAACAATGATATAATAATAAAGTTATTTAAATTATGTGTTATGTGGAGGTACTATTAATAAGACTTTCGGTTAGCATAGCGTGGATACATTAAGGAGGTTCTTTTAATGCTACAATTCAACGTTAGTCGTTAAATTCTTCCGAAAATTTTTCCGAAAAGGTTTGGGCTGCCAGTAAATAATTTAGGAACCACTCTTCTAGAGCACAACCAAGGTTTCCATAATGAAAACTGTCCTCACTGAGTGTCTCAGAGTGCAGCGGGAAAAACATTTTCGGGGCTCACTCTTTATGTCAGTTCGCCATCCAGTGGAGCTTAATGAGAAGTGCACCTACATCCCCGTTTAAAATGTGAAATAATTGATAGTGACGGTAAATGAAAAGGCAGAGTGGAGCCAGAGAGGGAGACGGAAACCAGAGCAGTGTCTATAAATGTTTTTGTTATCTTTTTCCCGTCCAGTTTATATAAGCCCCATCTCTCGTACAGGCCTCGCTCCAGCAGTGCAACTGTCTAGACTCTCTTTCTGTTTGTCACATTAAAATGTACACTTTCCAGATGGGACTCACAGGTGACTTAGGCTCAGTGTTGGCTCAGTTTGACTCTTTCCTTTATCTGGAGTCAGTCTGTATCAAAATCACTTATTATATTATTCGTATACAACGTGACTTTGAAAGTTGTAAATAGAAAGAGAAGCTAAGAAGTCCTTTATTAGTCCCACAGTCGGGGAAATTCTCAGTGTTTAGAGCAAAAGAATACAAAGAGTGCAGTACAGAGTATGAAGAAGTAAAGTACAGCCTAGTGCTACAGATATCAGCGTGCCTTTTTTGTTTGTTTGTTTGTTTGTTTTTTACATTTATACTGTTGATTTTGCACATTATTATTAGTTACTATGAAATATCGCAGGTCAGAAAATACTGCGAAAAAAGTGAACGATGTATAAAAATAGTTTGTCATAATAATAATGCCAAGAAGAGGAATCAAAACAAAAAAATAAAATACAGATATTATATATGTATATAAATTAAATATACATGTATATTTTATATATTAAAAAATAAATGAAAACTATAATGTTTGAAACAAACTAAAAAAAAATCCTTGGAGGCTTTACAATAATATGAAATGTATTTCTAATAACAGTAAAACATAACAGTAAATATATATAATATAATATATATATATATTTTTTTTTTTTTTTTTAAGTGACTAGCCTGGTAAAGTATACTGTATTAAAGCTATTGCCGTTTGCTATAAATCACTGTGAAGGTCCTGGCGCATTTTAGCCACAGGTTTAACTGATTGACTTTTGCAAAGTCCTGTTCATTAATTGAGGAAAGTAATACTAATATGAACCATCATATTATTTTTTCACCCAGAAATAGACTTTCGTCTGACTCCCTTCTTCCAAATATGTGGGCAACAGCAGGACTACCAGCTGTCACATTGACCCTGTCTTCTCTTCTTTTTTTTTTTTTTCCTTTTTAACCACAACTGTTTCTCTGTTACACTTCCAGGCTGACAAAATCAGCTTCATCGAGAATTAAAGCCGGGTGCCATCTGTGCTCAAAATCTTCAAGAGGCCGCTCTGAGCTCCTCCTGAGTGCTGCCCCCGTTTAATTAAGGCTGTAAATTGGGATCGTCAATCTCTTACCTGAGTCCTCCTAGCCTTGATTTGTACTGGGTTCAGGACGTCAAGTGTGTGTCCACACCTGCTGTATTTAGCTTAATTATAATGATTTTTTGGTAGTTCTGTGAAATCAGGGGTGTCAAACATAAGAAACTAACAAAAAAAATGCAAGAGAGAAGGAAATCCTTGGCCATATCTCAGCCAGCTCTTTGTTTTCAAACGCAGACGAGTCAATAACTTTATCATGCAATGCAAAATGTGGCTCCCCCGGTGGACAGAGGTGTCACTGTCAAAACTGAAGTGTGCTTTAGTGGCTTGAATGTGTCTCTTGTATTTGAACTGTTGTTTAAAAACAACCAGTTGCAGATTGGATGTATGACTCGTCATAGTAACTTAAAGTAACTAAGTAACTTTTACTCAAAGTACATTTTGAAATTGAAGTTTTTCTTTCTTTTTCAAGTATATTTTTTAATGGGTACTTTTACTTTTACTTGAGTAGTATTTAAACAATGTAACGATACCATAACTTAATTAAATTTTTTACTACTTTCTCTTTCTCTGTTAGTTCACTACTCTAAGATAGATCACCAATAATCCACATTTCATGATTGGTCATGTGCCCAAACATTATAATGTTATACTCAGGTTAAGAGAGGCATGTGTGAGAAGACAGGTTAAAAAAAGAAAAAGCAAAAAAAAAAAAAAAAAGAGTTTCTTTAAAAGCACCACTCAGCTATATTTGTTTAATGTCCAAACCTTCCTTTGGACAAAAACATTAGCCCCGTGTCTGGATCCTCTCAGGTGCTCAGCAGACATATCGAGTCATGAACCCTTACAACAGAAAAGAAGGCAGGGACGGGCGGAGTGTGGTGAAGCACACTGATGGTCCTTGAATGATGGATCATCTCCTGCCTCTTTATCTCTTCCTTGCTCCTCTTCAGACTACGCAGGGGTGGGCCAAACAGCAGGTGGTGCAGAAGAGGAGCTCTGACATTGGGATTTGTTAACAGCTGTATTTGTGATTCTGCCACTGGACAGGCATGGAGCAGCAACAAGATGCAGATTTCGAAAAGTAAGACATCTACTGCTGTTTTCATTTTGTCCGTGATGTTTCCGGCGTGTGGCACGGCTTCCTGTGGTTAGTTGTCCATGACAAGGAGAGTTTGTTGACGAATCGGAAGACGATGCGCAACAGTTAAGGTACCATTTTATGCATGTGCTTAGCATGTGGCTAAGACTTTTCTCTTGTTTTGTTTGGTCAGTCTTGGTCAATATCGTTTCACCAACAGACTCTTCATTACACCATGTAATCATTCAAGTGATAAGTTGCGCTAATATTGTGTTGAAAATGCTTGGAGGAACAGGAACTGATTTCTAAATATTGTGGCATTTTTCTCACCAATCACAAGTAATATACAGTTCTAATAGTATTTTAGTAATGTGAGAAAAAATTATGTGAATTTTATCTTTTATTAATATTTTATTATTACTGCTAGCCCAAGAGTTGGCACAGAATTTGCCTATATATATATAACCAAAATATATAACAAAAATAAATAAGATTCCTTAGGCAGACAGAGCAAAATGTTAGTAAAAAGAGGAGAAATATAACAATTAGCAAAAAAAAAAAACTACAATTAAATTACTTAGCCACATTTAACCTCTCCTTAAATATTTTTCTACCTCAGACTTGATTTTTAAAACTCAAAGAAAAAACTATATTGCTGTCCGCCTTAAAAAGAAATCACAACTGCCATAAAGTTTACGTGTGAAGCACCAGTGCGTGCTAAAAAGCATTAGCCGTAAGCAGTTAGCCATACGGCTAATCTAAAAAAATACATTAAACAGCGTGGAAGCGGCCAAGAATAACTTGTCAACAAGCGACGTACGTACAATACTCTACGCAATATTCTATTACTGTACATTTAAAGTTGTTTTATTTAAGTTGCCACGTGTATGCTAAAAGCTAAACTGGAGCTATGCTAACAGCAGTCAATGAGGCTCAGTCCTTCCTATTATAGCAGTCTTAAAAGTAAAAACTGGAGTCATTTAAACACTGACAGAGGAGCGATCAAGCTAGCAGACATTTTTAGTGACATAACCAACAACAAAAAAAAGCTTTATATCGTTTTGGTTTTGTTCTTTCATTTCAAAACACCTAAAGGGTTTGTTGACATTGGAGCAAGGAAAGAGACACACAGATTTAGTGCCTGTTTTGTTCACCTCAACCATTCTTATTCATCAAGTCTGGTTTGTGTGAGCTCAAACTGGCTGAGGGATTTCTAAGAGGGGATTTCAATGCATCTGTTTAAGCCTGAAGCTTGAATGTTAATGTGTTTGCTTTCAGTCAAAGCAACTTCACAAAATGTCCAAAATTTCAAAAAAAAAAAAAAAAAAAATCATATGTTTGCGTTAACTTTATTTTAACTTATTCTTACACATTTACACCTCATATGTTTGCGTTAACTTTATTTTAAGTTATTCTTACACATTTACACCGGTTGTTGTGATCATTTTCATATGCATTTCAAAACATTCAACAAAATTCACTCTTAATTCTCCTGTTGGGCTTTCTCTCTCTCCATCTCTTCTGTCCTCTCCGCAGCTCAGGTGTCAAAGCAATAGTGTCCCTGGCCGGGGTTCGGTGAATAAAGATGCCCATGGATTAGGAGAAACAAAGCAGCACTCGACTCAAATGATTCAAAAGAGGAGGAAAAAGAGACACCTTTTAATCCCCGGTGTACAGCTCGGACCGTGTGAACAATGTGAGTCGACAGATTAAATTTAAAGACGCCGAGGTGCTTCTCTTGTACTTCAGGAGTGGGCGAATGAAACCATGGAGCCGTAGACGCTAAACGTGCTTGCTCCATCTTTGCGAGCATGCCGAAACAGCATATATGATTTGTCCTTCAAAAAGACACAAGTGGGAACCAACGGGATCTGAGGATGTAGCAGATACAGGTGATTAGATGCGGCCTCTTGTTCGGGACAGTGTCACTACAGTCAGTATGGAAGTGCAGACGGCCTCTTTGGAGTGGATATACGTAAATAAGACAGAAGAGCTGAACGCTTCCCGCGAATACAACTCCACAGATTCGGTCGAACACTCGGACAATTATCACTCGTACACGATTGGTCTCTTCCTGTCCTGCCTGTATACTATTCTCCTCTTTCCCATTGGATTCATTGGTAACATTTTAATCCTGGTGGTGAACCTAAACCACAGAGAGAAAATGACCATTCCCGATCTCTATTTCGTGAACCTGGCCATCGCCGACCTCATCCTGGTGGCAGACTCGCTCATCGAGGTCTTCAACCTGAACGAGAAGTACTACGACTACGCCGTTCTCTGCACTTTCATGTCACTCTTCCTGCAGATTAACATGTACAGCAGCATCTTTTTCCTCACTTGGATGAGCTTCGACCGGTACATAGCCTTGGCTAGCTCCGTTAGCAGCAGCCCACTGAGGACTATGCAGCATGCTAAGCTCAGCTGTGGCCTCATCTGGATGGCCTCCATCCTGGCCACCCTCCTCCCTTTTACCATCGTACAGACCCAACACAGGGGCGAGTTACACTTCTGTTTCGCCAACGTCATCGAGATTCAATGGCTGGAGGTCACCATCGGGTTTTTGGTGCCCTTCTCCATCATCGGCCTTTGCTACTCTCTGATAGGCCGCATTCTCATGAGAGCCCAGAAGCACCGCGGACTGTGGCCGCGGCGACAGAAGGCCCTGCGAATGATAGTCGTGGTGGTGCTGGTCTTCTTCATCTGCTGGCTGCCGGAGAATGTCTTCATCAGCATCCAGCTGCTGCAGGGCACGGCCGACCTATCAAAGAGGACTGCGACCACGTTGTGGCACGACTATCCCCTCACGGGCCACATCGTTAACCTGGCGGCCTTCTCCAACAGCTGCCTCAACCCCATCATCTACAGCTTTCTGGGAGAAACCTTCCGAGACAAGCTGCGTCTCTTCATCAAGCAGAAGGCTAGCTGGCCGGCGTCGGATCGCTTCTGCCACCACAGCCTTGATTTACACCTCCCTGTCAGAAATGTTGTAACTCAGGTGTGACCTTGTTGACAGAACACACATTAGGAAAACGCTTTTTTTTTTTTTTTTGTACCTCAGCCTGTCCTGCTATTTCTAAAGTTGGCCTCATAGTTCTGTCAATGGTGTCCGGTTCACGTTTTGAACAAAGAAACAGCGGGAGGGGGAAAGTCCAGTAAAAAAAATGACATGACCTCTGTATCTGAATGGATAATAACAACACAAGCATTTTTATTCACTGTAGCCTCTTGATCTGCCTGTTGTGGACTGGTTATTTGCGTTCCACTTTCAAAACCACTAAAGAACTAAAGAACCTGAAATGGTCAACACAGATTTTCAGCCTGTGTTAATGGACAGTTTCGCATAAATAGAGTGTAAATAAAGACATTCATTTAACACTCACTCACACACACACTGTGACCGAGTTATACTCCTTTTATGTTGCGGGCCAGGATAAAAATAAAATCTAGAATTATGGGAATAAAGTCATACGGAATATTAGAGCCACAGTCACGAGAATAAAGTGTTCCGAATTAATATATATACATATGTGTATATGCAGTATATATGTATATACATATATATATATATAATATAAAAAAGTCAAATAATGGGGAAATTCACATTGTGAGGAAACTTATGTAGTTCCGCTGGGGCTCGAACCCAGGACCTTCTGCATTTAAGGCAGGTGTGTAAGGCAGACATTAAAACCCAAGCTGAAACAAGCGACCTTTTGGTTTAGAAGAATGTAGAGTAGACTACTTTTCATTGTGACCCACCACACCACTGCACACACAACGAATTGTGACTTCTGCATTTAACCCAGGCATGGGCAAACTAAGGCCCGGGGGCCAGACGCAGCCCGTTCAGCTTTCTAATCCAGACCGCCAAACCTTTCCAAATGATATTATTTATCTATTTGCCTTTTCCATGCAATACCTACGTTTCCCCAAAAGATGGTGCAGACTTTTACATGTCATTTATCTTAGTTCACACGAACGCTCCATCTATCTGCTCTATCTGCAATTTTTGGAATTTTTAAGTTGGAAGTTAGAAGCTAGTTTATGGTTAGCAATATTGACACAAGCAGTATTCAGCATTGGGCGAAGCCTCTCTTTTACGCACTATAAGCCATTGGCGCTACCGACAAGACCGACGGTCTTCTTCCATCTAATACTATTCCCAGCACCACACGACCAATGTGAGTGTTCACAACATTAGTGATGATGCCTTCAAAACATGTCAGAAATTTCAGGCTAATATGATTCCATACAGCTGTACTCCTTTACTATAGGAAGGATCGAGTAGGAAATAGAAAGAAAGTACTGAGAAAGTACTGAGAAAGTAGAGCTGCAGCCAGAGTTGGAGCTGCAAGTACTACATTCAGCCATGGATTTTTGTTTTGTTTTTGTTTGTTTTTTTGTGGGAGATTGCTTTAGAATGGAACTTTCCTATTATTTGTGGCAACTTTCAGGAAGATAATAAATAATTTTAAGGAGAACATTTTATTTCTTTTTTTTTTTTTAGCTAACGATTCGGTTGTTTGTGCTTTTTTTCCCCAGATTTTAAATGACATGGTCATGCTGGAATCACTGACTGCCTTGTTCAGAGGTGTGTGACTTATTTTCCCAGCAGCCCCTATCATCCTAAAGTGTGATGACAGAGAAGAGCATAATTGCGTACCTTGCGACATATTAGAGCAGTAGAACACTGAACCTGTGATTCTCAACAACTGTGCCGCAGCGGAGAGATCATCAGGTGAATTGTGGGAAATTATCCAATTTTACTCAATCGGTCTGAAAACTATCATATGTATTTACCGCAAAGTAGTTTGTTTTTGTTCATCTCTGTGACAACAGCTGCGACATTTAAACACTCTGCCACTAGGTGGCAGCAGATAGCTTAAAAAATCTAAAAAAAAGAGAGAAAAACTCAGAGCTGTTGAAAGACATCTTCCTGTGTATGTTTCTTAAAGTCCTGCAAGTATACTGTATCAACGTTGTGTTCAACTAAACAGGATTCACATTGCATAAGTTAATTGTGAGTAAATTGACGATCGGCCGTGGGATCTCCTAACCCTAAAAGGTGTGCCGTGGCACATTACATTATCCTACTCCTCCGCAGAGGTTTAGTAGGTAAGGTTCGATAAAACATTATTTTCTGTTAAATGAACAACAAAGATCACCAACCGGCCGACTCCCTCCGCGACTGGATTCTAAAATTTACATCAAATAATACTGTTTGACAAAAATGTGATTTTGTTTTTCATTTCATATGAGTGTCTGGCCCCTAAACAATAACAAGAAGTACAGGTACATCGAGTTCCTTTACATTACAAAATACAAGAATCTGGTTTTTTTTCCCCAAGATTTGGCGAGACGATACTGACTGTCGTCTCCAGAGCTAAGCAGGATTTAAAGCAAACCATAACTGTAACAATTTATTTAAGAATAGATGTGCATGTTGCCAGCCTGGGCTGGGGGTTTATGTTGTCTGGGTGTGTGTGTGTGTGTGTGTGTGTGTGTGTGCATGTACATTTGTGCTTGTGACCACAAACTGTTATTCCAGCTGTAACCGTCTCAGCAGCCTGGGAAAACAGGAAAAGTCTTTGTCAATGATTGTCCATGGACGTCTGCATGAAATGATTCAATGCACTGATGTCGCCGCTAGAAATCTGCATCATGCAAGAACGTTAACTCAGCTCAAAATCTCCAGGCCTTTTCCATCCCCTCTACATACATTATTATTCAAACAAAATCAAAGATTAACATTAGTTTACAGATGTGAACCCAATCTGACAAAAGCCATTGTGGTAAAACCAGGATACGCTAAAAGGCCCAGACTGGAAAATTTCCAATGTTTTTGAGTTAACGTTTCCCCTTTTTGCAATTGATTAAGAATTAATCATACAACAAGGAGCCTTGAGAAGAGTTTCGGAATGTGTATACAGCTGAGGCCACTCAGCGATGTTAAAGGTTGGGCCGGTTTACGTCATAGAAAGGGAAAGGGCATAACTTTTACCCCTGCTTACTTCCACAACACTCCCTTCTGAATATTACTGAACAATATTGTGTTTAAGAGTAAAAATAGTACCACAAAGGATTTTTAAACAGTGTTTTATTTTTTAAGCACAATTTGCCTCGGAGAAGGGTTTGGAGACAGAGCATGGAAGTTTGAATCACAATGTATATATTTTTAAAATTCTAAATGTGAAGAGTGATAAAATCAACAGGTACAAAGATATAGTTAATCCTGTAGGGGTCGCTAAAGCAGATCATCTGCTTCCATGTCTCCTGAATTCTTGCTTTCTCTACTGTTGTTTCATCCATTCCCATGTCCTCAATCCACTGTTGAATCACAATGTATATATTTTTAAAAATGTTAAAATTAAAAATTTAAATGTGAAGAGTGATAAAATCAACAGGTACAAAGATATAGTTAATCCTGCAGGGGTCGCTAAAGCAGATCATCTGCCTCCATGTCTCCTGAACTCTTGCTTTCTCTACTGTTGTTTCATTCATTCCCATGTCCTCAATCCACTACGTCCATGAATCTCCATTAATATGATTCACCATCAAACAGCTTGGAAAGTTTTCAAGTCTGACCAAGAGGTCAAACCTGGCCCTCGGATATATTCAAAATGAGCTACATGGAGCTGGGAAAGTAATTAACATTTTAACATAGAAGACTTTTGATGCAAGGGCAATTCAATGTAATTTTATCTCATTTAAAGCTATTGTTCATTTTAGCTTTTTGCTAACCTGATACATTTGTTTCTACAGTTATTTATTTATTTTGCAGTCCCATCTCTTATATGGAAGTTTTTTTTTTTAAGTATTTTGGCCTAACTTCTGGCTAAATCTTTCAGGTTGTTTAAGTTGCTTTGTGGTATCAGTTGGCTAATATGTATTTATTTTGGGGAACTTGTGGCTATTTTATGGCCTTTTGAGGTCATATTTATGTTTATTTTGCTGAATTTAGCAGTTCAGAATTTGATCATAACACATCATTATTTTTTAATGACACTTCATGTTTTTAATACTACTTGTAAACTGTACTTTAAATATTGTACATTACAGCAAGTGCCTTCTGTTGAACATTTCTTTTTACTAATTCTACCCTTCTGTCACACAACAGCCCCGACACATTCTCTAATCCCTCTGCATTTAAAGTACTACTTTACCTTGAATACTCATAATCATCCAATCTTCCTTACCTGTACCTGTACATAGACCAAAGTATATTATCTAAACTTTGTAAATCCTGCAAAGTAACAGCAGTTTTGTGACAGTAGTGAAATTTTACAGTCACTCTAAATAGAAAAAAAAAACACCTGTCAAAAAGACCCACTTGACATCCAGTGGGTGGGCATGTCAAAGTAATTACTGCGGAATACACCCGGCTTATGCATAATTACAACCTTATGCACTCAGTGCACCTGAGTAACTGAATAATGGATTAGACACATAATTGCATTTGTAAATTAAAACCCTGAGAGGAAAAAAAAGAAGGGGGAACTGGGTAACATATATGAACTTTCCAGATTCGGGGAGAGAAAGGAGTGTTTTGATTGGACAACTTCAGTCGAGACATTGGTCACACCCCCTAAATATGACAGCGCAGTCTGAAATTGGTAAGTAAAGTCATTTTGAAAAGAAATGAAAATATGCCAACTATAACATAAGAATTGGAATCTTATACAAATATATTATTTTAAGTCTAACCTATAAATAATTAAGAGTACTATAATATGGAGGTCAATAATAGATAGATAGATAGATAGATAGATAGATAGATAGATAGAAAGAAAAAAATTGAATAAAACTACGTAAATTCTTTTAAACATTTTTGTAGTTTTTTTGTAATGTTATTTGTCCTTGCTATCCGCGTCAGCAGCGCCCCCCTGTGCTGAAGCTCCTCCTCTGCAGCGCGTTGTTGCGGACGTGCACGCACGCGAGCAACAGATCCGAGCGCATGCGCACATCATTGTTTTGACTGAAAATGCCGTCGGTTTCGAAAACGGCGGCCAATGCGTCTCCTCAAACCGAGAAACCGACCCATTATACGTGAGTAAATACCAAGAGTGGAGCTCCGGAGGGAAATTTCAGGAAAAACGCTGCATACGTGTGCAGTTACGCGCGTTTGCATTTGCTCGCGTTCCTCAACTCTTGTGTACGCGTAAGAAAAAAACATGGAGCTTTTCCTGGCTTTGTGACTAACGTTACAGAGCAAACAGCGAATGGCTACACTAACCACCGCCTACGTTAGCGCGAGGAAACACGGATACATCGGTATGCGGTCGTAGAAGAAAACGTCCGGAAGTCTTTGGCGTATCTCCTGAAACGCTACTTGGTCAACTCTTGTCTGCTAAATGATTAGCCAGGAACTCGTCAACCAGTCTGCTTGTAAATAGCTCGGCCTTATTTTGAGTTCCCCCGTACTACGCACATGAATTTACGTACGCTACTGGACTTTTAATAAGCCCTACGTCAAAATATTATCGTAGTTTCCTCTTAGAATAGCGAGCTAACGTCAGTGACCCAAAAAAAATCAAGACCAGCCCCGCCAATAGCAGCAAATGACATAGAACTTTTGCTTGTTTGTTTTTTGCTATAGTTGAAACTTTTTATGTTTAACGTGGTTTTTGACGCATTCTGTTTCTGGCTATTTCAGATACTTGAAGGAGTTTAGGACAGAGCAGTGTCCCTTGTTTCTTCAGCACAAGTGCACGCAACATAGACCCTTTACGTGCTTTCACTGGCATTTTCTAAACCAGAGGCGAAGGAGACCCATTCGGAGAAGAGACGGAACCTTCAACTACAGCCCAGACGTTTATTGCACCAAATACGACGAGACCACAGGCATTTGCCCAGATGGAGACGAGTAAGTGCCACAGCCGTTCTCCCGCTATATGGGAATGTCACTGACTAGCAGTGGCGGCACTAGCGACTATGGTGCCCTGGGCACTATGAGGATCAGGTTGTTCGTAGCAGCAGAAGGAAACACCATTCATGTCAGTTGTACCTCATATATCTCTGTGGTACACGCCCCCTGTTTCTTTACTCTGATAAGTAACAGTGGCATGCAAATGACTATGATGCAAATGATTGAATTACATTACGAAGTGTGACCTGTTTTTGATATAACTTTTAATAATTTTGTATCAGAAGATAGAATTGGAATTATTATTGATCCCCATAGGAAAATTCCTTCACATTAAGAACACATGATAGAAAAAAGATTCCTTAGAAAGTAAAATGCTCTCCAAAAAACAATAAAAAAATAGCTTAAAGAATAAATATATGACTGTTATTGTTTTACTGAATAGCATAGCATTGATTGAATAGAATAGTATTTTCACAAATATTAACTTTAAAAATTACTTTACCACTGCTTCTAATGCTTCCTCGGGAATCTGTTTTTTCTGAACTCAAATTCTGCCTATGATGACATTAAAAACTAACCTGAGTGCAGAAACAAAAATTTATATTTTACAGTAATGTTATGGATTTAAAATATTGAAGTCTATATAATGTAAGAATCATTCCAACCCAAACAGTTCATCGGATTTGTTGATTTTTAGTAGGTTCCTGTTCTGTTTCAGTGGCTTGAAGTGTCAAAACAAATGCTCTTTAATAGTGTAGTAAACCAAAAGAAACTTGATCTTTTTGCAGAACTAAAATGCTGTAACTATTATATTTTACCTATCTCTATCTTTGAGTGACTGCATGCATTGCAATAGTCTTTGGTGCACCCAATACATTTTTATTTTATATTTATATTATAAAGTCAATAAGAAGGAACATAATGTTTTAGTGAGTGATATACAAACACAGTTGGCCAAGGTGTATTCGAACCTCCAATTATCTGATAACAAGACTGATCCAATTACCATTTGGCCACGGGCTGTCCCCCATACTGCTAACATTCAAATATTTTCTGTAAAGCTCACAGACTCAAAATAATTGATAATAACATAGAAACATTCTGATGTTATTTGTAATACAGAACCTCCAGCCAAGTCTGATTATAACATTGAACTTTCTATTCAGACTGAACATTGCGATGTAAAACTGAGAGTACATGTGACACAGCTTAGTGTAACAAGGATACATGAAAGTGGATCTTCTTAGCCGTTTGGGTGTCAAAATATTGCAACTCGAGCCAGAAGATGTAGTTCAACCATATCGTCTGAATTTAATTTCAAAAAGAAAAAGGACAGTCAAAAGGACAGAAGCTAACTGTTCCTCTACAGACTGGTAGTATTACAGTGGCAGTAAGTGTGGAATTACAGCAACCAAAGAAGTGAATTTGATATTTAATGGTATTAGTAAAATATGCTGGAGTTTCACATAACTGTCGCAAACTAACTTTCACACACAAGTCTAGTTGAGTTACTCAGACAATCATGTCACAGTTTGATTTCATACATGTGCAGCTAAACTCTGAATACCCCAACTTTGTTTTTTAAGTTTTGTTATCTTAAGTTTTATTACTGATTATTTTGCGCATAAGTAGAACATTGCATTGGAAAGGTTGGTGGCAATAGGCCATTATTGTACAAGTTTGCATGTTCATTTAGGGCTATAATTAACTAAAGACTACCCAGAAAAGAGCATGATTTTTTTATTTTCTGTTATTTATCAACAGGAATACTGATTTAATTGTCGTTTGTTAAGTTCCTGAAACGCCGTCTTGCAGCAAATTCTGGTGCAGGATGTGAGTCAACATACTGAACGATGCAATTCTTTCTTGAGTCAACATACTGAACGATGCAATTTGTTTTTTTAGTCTTATGACTGTCTTCAATGCTTGGCCACATAACAGGTTGTTGTGGCCTCCAGTGTTGTATTAATGACTGCTCTGTTGCTATAATTTCCAGCTAATGAGATCCTAGTCTTTTAACTTCTGTCATCGCTGGAGAATAAATCAAACACCAGAATGCCAGCCCTCTACATTTGGGTAGTTGGGGTTGACTTATTACTAGAAGAGTAGATGCTGGATTACAGTGTGTGCCAATGTGTCCCTGGGCGAAATATTTTGTAATTATAATGATTAACTCCCTTGTAATGGGGGTAAACACTTGTGCCAATCATATACATGTGGGTCAGGGACGCGTGTAATGGACTACCCTTGCTTTACCGGGTTGGAGATGTGGGTTATCACTGACAGGTCCCCACAACTCTGTGAAGCAAGTTTTAGTTAATAGTTTTACATACTGTTCTTGATATTTTTCCATATTAATAATTATGAAAAATTCATGCACAAAAATCAACTTGTTGTTACTGCATTTGTCTTTTTTTTTTGTTCCAGCAATATGCAGAACCTTTAGGTCATTTGTAGGAATGTAAAATTATCCGGGTTAATCATACTTATTTACGATTAATCGTGATTCATCCACAACTACATTGTGATTGTTTTAGATTGGATGTTTTTTATAGTAACAGATCAAAGGTGTAATAATGATTCCTTTTGTGAAAGGAATTTTTAAATAATGGGGAGGTGCATTGTTAGGCCTTTTATTAAGAAAGAAATTGAAGGTTTTTTTTTTATAATTGTCCCTATTCAAAGCCCTCTGTGTGACGTCTTGCGTTGCTATAGAAACTGTTGCTACTCAAAGCAGGAATATTTTTGCTCTCTGTAGAAGAAAGCCTATTGGCAGTGTTTTTCAAGGCATTGATGGTGTACCAGCCCTACATTCTGTGTAGAATGTTACGCCCTATTAAAAATGCATGCAGCAAACAATTGGATGGTCTGAGGGCGATACATAAGCTCCACTGGCTTATTACAAATGTCTAGACAGTCGAGGTCAATACATTTCATAATTGTTCCAGTAATGAAATCAAAACTGTTGGCTTTAAGGTTAAAAATTACTTCAAACCAGAAAAAAGGGATCCTCCCTCATAATCATTGACATTGTTGTTTTTGAGATCTGAAGTTAGTCCAGTGGCGGTAAATCTTGAATTTTACAACACAAATTGATCTAGTTTGTGTTACAGTTCTAGACACTAGAGTACACAGTCCAGTTTGTACTCTTGTACTCACAAATAATAAAGGGATAAAAATCCAAAATGCAGTGGTTCCAAAACTTTTGCTGCACCGCCCCCTCCTTTGTAGATAGGAGTGTAACAAGGATACATGAAAGTGGATCTTCTTAGCCGTTTGGGTGTCAAAATATTGCAACTCGAGCCAGAAGATGTAGTTCAACCATATCGTCTGAATTTAATTTCAAAAAGAAAAAGGACAGTCAAAAGGACAGAAGCTAACTGTTCCTCTACAGACTGGTAGTATTACAGTGGCAGTAAGTGTGGAATTACAGCAACCAAAGAAGTGAATTTGATATTTAATGGTATTAGTAAAATATGCTGGAGTTTCACATAACTGTCGCAAACTAACTTTCACACACAAGTCTAGTTGAGTTACTCAGACAATCATGTCACAGTTTGATTTCATACATGTGCAGCTAAACTCTGAATACCCCAACTTTGTTTTTTAAGTTTTGTTATCTTAAGTTTTATTACTGATTATTTTGCGCATAAGTAGAACATTGCATTGGAAAGGTTGGTGGCAATAGGCCATTATTGTACAAGTTTGCATGTTCATTTAGGGCTATAATTAACTAAAGACTACCCAGAAAAGAGCATGATTTTTTTATTTTCTGTTATTTATCAACAGGAATACTGATTTAATTGTCGTTTGTTAAGTTCCTGAAACGCCGTCTTGCAGCAAATTCTGGTGCAGGATGTGAGTCAACATACTGAACGATGCAATTCTTTCTTAGTCTTATGACTGTCTTCAATGCTTGGCCACATAACAGGTTGTTGTGGCCTCCAGTGTTGTATTAATGACTGCTCTGTTGCTATAATTTCCAGCTAATGAGATCCTAGTCTTTTAACTTCTGTCATCGCTGGAGAATAAATCAAACACCAGAATGCCAGCCCTCTACATTTGGGTAGTTGGGGTTGACTTATTACTAGAAGAGTAGATGCTGGATTACAGTGTGTGCCAATGTGTCCCTGGGCGAAATATTTTGTAATTATAATGATTAACTCCCTTGTAATGGGGGTAAACACTTGTGCCAATCATATACATGTGGGTCAGGGACGCGTGTAATGGACTACCCTTGCTTTACCGGGTTGGAGATGTGGGTTATCACTGACAGGTCCCCACAACTCTGTGAAGCAAGTTTTAGTTAATAGTTTTACATACTGTTCTTGATATTTTTCCATATTAATAATTATGAAAAATTCATGCACAAAAATCAACTTGTTGTTACTGCATTTGTCTTTTTTTTTTGTTCCAGCAATATGCAGAACCTTTAGGTCATTTGTAGGAATGTAAAATTATCCGGGTTAATCATACTTATTTACGATTAATCGTGATTCATCCACAACTACATTGTGATTGTTTTAGATTGGATGTTTTTTATAGTAACAGATCAAAGGTGTAATAATGATTCCTTTTGTGAAAGGAATTTTTAAATAATGGGGAGGTGCATTGTTAGGCCTTTTATTAAGAAAGAAATTGAAGGTTTTTTTTTTATAATTGTCCCTATTCAAAGCCCTCTGTGTGACGTCTTGCGTTGCTATAGAAACTGTTGCTACTCAAAGCAGGAATATTTTTGCTCTCTGTAGAAGAAAGCCTATTGGCAGTGTTTTTCAAGGCATTGATGGTGTACCAGCCCTACATTCTGTGTAGAATGTTACGCCCTATTAAAAATGCATGCAGCAAACAATTGGATGGTCTGAGGGCGATACATAAGCTCCACTGGCTTATTACAAATGTCTAGACAGTCGAGGTCAATACATTTCATAATTGTTCCAGTAATGAAATCAAAACTGTTGGCTTTAAGGTTATAAATTAAGAGAGATTTGACCACATGCCTGTTTTTTGTTTTTTTTTCTTTTTTCCTGAAATTCAAACCAGAAAAAAAGGGATCCTCCCTCATAATTATTGACATTGTTGTTTTTGAGATCTGAAGTTAGTCCAGTGGTGGTAAATCTTGAATTTTACAACACAAATTGATCTAGTTTGTGTTACAGTTCTAGACACTAGAGTACACAGTCCAGTTTGTACTCTTGTACTCACAAATAATAAAGGGATAAAAATCCAAAATGCAGTGGTTCCAAAACTTTTGCTGCACCGCCCCCTCCTTTGTAGATAGGACTATTGATCAACCTCAGTCAGTGAACAGTCTAATACCTAAAAACAGATATTCACACCAAAGGGGAGCCCACCTCTTTTAGGACCACTACCTTAATGTGCCTTATAATTGTAGTATATAATACGAATGAAAACGTCATTTGTCCCACAATAGAAAACTCAGAAAAATCAGATCAGCCTAGATCAGTTAATAGTTTTAAAATATTTAATTCTATGTTCTTCAAATTTTAATTTTTTCTCTTTTTTTTTTTTTTTCCCCCCAAAGTTGTCCATACTTACATCGGACCACTGGTGACACAGAGCGCAAGTACCATCTTCGCTATTACAAGACAGGCACGTGTATCCATGAGACAGACGCTCGTGGGCACTGCGTGAAGAATGGCCTTCACTGTGCATTCGCTCATGGGCCACATGATCTCAGACCTCCTGTCTATGATATCAGGTAAAATGCTGAGGCAGCGGTCTCCCCGTATTCTCCCTTGTCTCTACCGATGGCTCTTTTTGGCACAATGTATTTTTAAAAGAAGCTCATCCTGGCCTTGCATTTTCAGTTATTAAAATATAAAAGTGCATTGAATAAAAAGCACTAAAATTGTACCTCTGAGATATGTTTCTATCAATTTTTTGTTTGGAAAAAAAAGACTTATGATTTTTTATTTTTGACTAAAAATAATTTTTTAAATAACATTTTTCTATGGGCACAGAGAGATTCAAGCACAAGAGGCTCTTCAGAACGGACAGCTGGGTTCTGGGGAAGGTATCCCTGATTTGCAGCCTGGAGTATTAGCCAGCCAAGCTATGATTGAAAAAACTCTGACAGAAGACCCTCGATGGCAAGGTGAAACAGAAGAATGTCTACCGTACAGAGTGACTAAATGGGCCTGTTTTTGTTCAAATAGAATGTAACTATCACTTTTTGTTGATTTTTGTTTTTTTTTTCTTTTCTTAAAACAGATACCAACTTTGTTTTAGCCAATTATAAAACAGAACAGTGTACCAAGCCCCCGAGACTATGCAGACAGGGTTACGCCTGCCCTCACTACCACAATAGTAGAGATCGTAGAAGAAATCCGAGAAAGTACAAATATAGGTAAGACGTGAGATAGTGTAAGGTTTCTTTCATACTGATATTATGGTTTTTTAAAGCAGATATTAAGGATTTGTTGATTGTTCGCTCCTGTAGGTCAACTCCTTGTCCCAGTGTGAAGCATGGGGATGAATGGGGCGAACCTTCCAAGTGCGAAAGCGGAGACAGCTGCCATTACTGTCACTCGCGCACTGAACAGCAGTTTCACCCAGAGGTGAGAACATAAAGATAATATCGGTTACAATCGTTTGTTCAAAGTGTCCCTAAATGCCTAACGTCTTTCTTTTTTTTTTGCTTCAACGTGACCTGTATATTTGTTTGTTTTTTTGTCCTCAGATCTACAAGTCTACCAAATGCAATGATATGAGACAAACTGGATACTGCCCTCGTGGACCTTTTTGTGCTTTTGCACATGTAGAAAGTAAGTTTGACCCTAAGAATACCATGATATCAGATCAGTTCAACGCAAGCGGTAAAACAAAACAAAAACTAATAAAATAACTAAATAGTTGCTAACATCTTACAGACATCTTACATCTCTACACTCTAGTAAAATCCTGTGCTATTTGACAATATCTGCATTCTATTTTTTAACACCATAACAATTGAACAAAGAGCTTTTCAGCCGAGTTCGACTCACCAAACTGTCCCATCTGGCCCACAGCTAGATTCCAAAATAAACATGAAATAATAATGTTATACAAAAATGTGATTTTTATTTCATTTTATTTTGAGAATATTGATGGAACTTTGTATCGTATATATTTAAAGTGAAATCCTATGTCTTGCAGAATGCGAGAAATGTTTACTCCTTTTCTGGTTTTATATCTGTGTCGGCTTTTCTTCCTCGCAGGAATTCCCTCAGCAGAGGAGACCATGGGTTCGCTGTTGACGGTGATACAGTCGAGCTCACAGTCCCAGCTGGTGTCACAGCAGTATTTAGAGTGTCCAGTCGGTGGGTGGAACAGCGGAGGAAACTCCAACAGCACAACTAGTAGCAATGGTCAAGTGGAGGGTGTAAGTGTCGTTTGTTCTTACAGAAAGAGAGGAAAAATGGGTATTCACACGTGTGCAAAAACAAGTGAGGTTTAACTCTACTGTCTCAGTATTCTGTTTGTTAAATCAATATATTTACACATATAAAGTATGTGTGCACAAGAGTGGCTCCTTAATATTCCAAACAAGAGTCAAATATTTAGCTCACTAGCTGCGATGAGCTATCATCTAAAGATTAAATTTGATTTATTTAGCACCACTTAAATCAGAATAGTTTATTTAATTCATGAATAACGGGTTATATTTGTCACACTTTGCATTTTATGCACTCCCAAATTGAACCAGAAGGAAAACAACTCCCCCAATTCATATCAACTGTCTACATTATCATTCTCATAAATCACTCATAGCATTATTTTCTGTTGTGTTTTTTTTTAATTTATTTTTATTTATTTAATTTATTGAGACCATGTGCGTTTCTCTTTCTCAGGTTTCATGTTCTAATAGCTCAACTCTAACACGAAGCTCAGGAAGTGACACTTTGTTATCCCCAGTGGGATCCGTCAGCAGGCCCAAATCCTTAACTAACAGTAGTTTATGCTCAGAGTCCAGCACATCCAGTGTCTCATCTCTGATGTCTAACTATCCTAGAGCTCCCGGCTTTGAACGTGAGGATCAGGTACAGAGACTCCTCTTTAGAATTAGGTCTAATGCAACAAGGTCTGACACCTGTTGAAGTTGTTTTTTGTTTTTTTTTTTCCTTTTTTTTTTCATCTATTATTTTTTCATCTCATTCTAAGTTGTATTACCTTAATTAAGTTACATATGAATTGCATTGTTGGTATGTCTTAAAACAAACTAATGGCATGGTGAAATGGTTTCCATAGAGCTGAGCTGTAAAGCTGGTGTAGAATGGGATTCTGCAGAACAAATAATAATAATAATAATAATAATAACACCTTTCCACCAATATAAATTTCCTTGGTATCAACATCTCAAAAACGTTAGACATATTTCACCTCAACTAAATTCTCCATGTTTCATCTCAAATATAGCACAAAACGTTTGCTTTCTTTATGAGAATAAATTGAAATATGAAACAAATAATCTTGAAATCGGACCAACATTTGTAGAGTCGCGTGTTTTGTGTCGAACTTAATAATACAGCACAATAGAAACGTCCAAGCAGCTTCAGGAGAATTAGTAAAGTCAATCACGGTTAGCTTTGTCTGGGAGAGTGACAATGCCTTTTGGTCATGAAAACTATTTTTCAGTATCCTGAAAAATAGTATGGAGAATCATGTTTAATCCGTTGTTTTCTCCCTTTCTCATTCCGTCATCAGATAAAGAACAAGGGGCACATGGATCAAAAATTGATGGACCAAGAAAAACAAGTTAGTATTTTTATTGTTGTTTGATCAAGAAAGATGGTTATTAACATATATTAAATGATGTATTATTAGTTTGGATTTTCACTGGCTAACAATTAGCTATCCCCTAATTTGGGGGTCTCAAACTTCCGATAAGGGAGCCACTTCTGGCCCTTGAACCCCGCACATCCCGCCAGCTACCAAACATCATTAATAATTCAATTTGGCCTTCTTTTTTTCCCTAAATTTTGTTTATTTATCCATTTGTTAATTTAAATGCTTATTTGGTATTTTAAGAATGTGGTCAAATATTTCTACTGGCTGTTTGTAGTGTTTCAGTGTTGTGCAGTATTTATATTACTATTTCTGATATCAAACACATTTAAGGTAGGCCAGTTCTAGGCTAGTTTTTATGTTGTATTTTTTTTATCCAGTTCGGACATTTTTTCTAAGCTCCTTTCATTTTCTGACCCTTTTTCTCTCCATCTCTCTCTCTCTCTCGCAGACACAAAATACCGTGTTCTCCACAGTGAACCCTTTGGCCTCGAGCTTTACCTCCAGTATAACATCCAGCTTGGCCTCTAGCGTTGGCTCTGATAGCTCTTCACCCACCACTTTATCAACCATGAATGCAAAGGCTACACCTTTCTATCCAGGCAGTAACACGGTGGAGTCCGTCATTGGTGAGGAGATTGAATATAAGCTAACAACTGTACTGTACTGTACTGCAACCTTTAGATTTCTCAAATGGCAATCATACATATGTTCCATTTTCCTACAGGTTCTGCTCTGGACCTCAACTTTAGTGATATCAATGTTGCATCTCTTGATAAGGAGTTAGAGGAACAAGACCACAGTGTTGGGATGACAAGTAAGGACCTGGGTTTGTTTTTTGGGGGCATAGCCATATAAATACAAGAATATAAATAAGTAAATAGTCTGAACGGCAAATTCAGCTTCAAAACGTTGTCTTAATTCTTGAGTGCATACCTTTACTGCAATACTTTGGTGAAATGAGTAATTCCATGCCAAAAAAAACGCTCATTTACTGAGCATTGTATGTGTCAACTCTCATGTTTTTCATCCTTTGGACTGCCCTATTTTTTTATAATTAAAACTAATTAAAATATAAATGTGCAGGCACTCTTGGACTAATCTGGTATCTGATTGGCAGGGACTACAGGCACTATTTAAAATGCTGTAAATAAGAAGGACATATGTGCACCAGGTATAAATGATCACATCCCCGTGAGGAAGAAGTACTGTTTGGCACTAGTGACAAAAAAAATCACAAAAAAATATATATAACGCTGATAGTTTGATGAACTTATGGCAGATTAGTTCATTAAAAATCTGTTTATTTAATAAAACCTTAATAAGCCATAAAACTCAATGTGTTTTTTTGATCCTTACAGGTCAAAGGGTTCTCGTTGGATCGGCTCCTGTTAACATTCCGGGCTCTCTGGCACGATCGTCTTCTCTTAACTCCTCGTCGTCTCTGTCCACCTCTCCGCTGAGCTCCCTTTCCCAGTCTCTGTCTCAGTCCCTCCTGTCTGCAGCAGTATCACAGCAAAATCAAACTTCAAGCATGCTAGCCAAACAAGAGCATGGCCTCTTGGGAACGCCCACATCCTCTTCCCAGAACTCTCTAGGTAAGCCTTTTATTCCACATGAAAAGAGAAGTAGTTGACTTAAGATCTTGAACTTTCTACATCTGCGCTACATTTTAGACTTTATCCTTTAGCAGCATGCTAAAGCTTAATCCCGCAGGATATGTAAAGATATTTAAGACATTTCAAATTTAAGTTTCTTGTCCAAAACTGAAAGAAAAAGTCACATCTGTGCTCGCAGGTCTAAATGGAGGAGCCAGCAACATTTGGGATTTTGTGAGCGGCAACTTTTCTCCGAGTCCATCTCCGGTTTTTAGCAGCCTGACCCCCACAGGCAGCAGCAGCAGTGGCGCAGACCTGACACGCCTTTTTAGAGAACTGGATGAAGCGAAGAGGAAGATCAAACAATGGGAGGAGGCCTGGCATCAGGTTAAACAGGTGAGTGTTTTCTAGGAACTGAAAATGAGACCGACCTTATTAGAAAGACTCGTGTTCCGTTTGAACCTTGAATTGAATTAATGTAAATCTTCTAACATCAAGAAAGGACAAGGACAAAATATTAAAATATAGATAAATAACCTTTAGCTGCATCCTGGCACCTACATCCTAATAACTACATTGTCCCAATAGAAACCATCAATATCAGCATAAATGTACAATAACTAGTGGTTATATTTTAACTAGTCGTTAACTCATGTAGCCAGAAAAACCACTTACTTAAGCAAGCAAATGCAACAATCTCATTGGCATTCATTTTAGGCTGACTACTGATTCTGAAGGCCTTAGGGGCAGATTTCACCCTGGCAACACATCAGGCTGAAATATGATTGGATAAAAACGAAAAGTTAATGTACACGACTGATAAATATATTAAAAAATAAGCCACTGATTCTGATACTGTGTAGGCCAGTAGAGGTTTAACTGAAGCTGAGGAAACTAAGCTGTTGCATTTACACAAAAAAAGTTCTCCATCTTAACACTAGGGGTGTTTCTCCACTCGTTGTTGGTAGATAAAATGTTATAATTGGAGTGAATTCTGTGCAGAATGTAAAAGGCTAAAGTAAAGTACAGGTAAGGAGTGTTTACGTAGGATACTGGGTACAATCTTCGTGCAAACACCTAATAGTTTGTCTGTTCAGCTAATCTTCAGACATCTCTCTGTATTCTAGGCTTGCGAAGCGTGTCAGAAGGAGGCCCACGAAGCCAAGGAACAGGCAAAAACGGCCGAGGCGGAGCGGCAGATAGCCGAACAAAAGTGGGAGAAAACCGAGCGCAAGCTGAAAGAGCTCCAAGGGGACTTTGACGTTCTTTGCCGCACGCCAGGAACGCCTCTGCTGCGTAGCTACGGGGAGCTGGAACAGCTGCCGCTGGCGAAGCTTCGCTCCATCCAGAGTCAGCTGCGCAACGACCTCGACCGCATAGACGGGGTAAGAAAGACAAGATCATACACAGGAGTTTTATTCCTGCCACCGACATCATTTTAACAGACTCCCCACACAGAGCTAGTCTTCACCACCAGGCATGCTGAATGTGATAAGTCTGCATGAACCGCATATCCCTGAAGGTGGCGGCTGATATTCCTTCTTTTCTTCCCCCCCCACAGGTAATTTATCAGCTTCAGTCAAAGAAATGTATAGTTTGCCAAAAGCATGACCGTTGCATTGTTCTGCAGCCTTGCCAACATTATGTACTCTGTGAGACCTGTGCGCCTAGTAAAACAGAATGTCCCTATTGTAGAACGAAAATACACAAGTGGTGATGTAGAGTTGGCAGTTTTATCGAGGTACTTTTTAAAGAACTAGCCCTTTTGGAAAGAACTACTACTAGATATTACAGTACAGTTTCTGAATAGCAATGTCATTTTTATTCAGTGATTTAATTCGTGGTTTTTTTTTTTGGAACAAAATGATGTTTGACTGAAAGAGAATCTTATCAATCACAGTATGTACATGTAATCCAATCAGTCACTATGGTTTTTTGCTCATCGTATATGAAACCTTTATCTATTGAGAAAGGTCCTCGAATTAGAGTATGAAAATACCTTATAGTGCCTTTTACCAAATTTAGCAACAATTTAGGAACTCTGAAAGTACAAAAAAAAAAAAATCACAATAATGTTAAACTGAGCAAAAAAAAAAAAACACTGATTGCAAATCGGGCATTTTTTTTTTTCTACAATGAATGCAAAATTACAAACGACAAACTCGAAACAGAGAAAAGCACTTAAATCCAACGCCTGGTGCACAAAGACACTGTTGAAAATAAGTTTGTATTTTTGTGCCTGTTTTTTCTTATTAATCTCTAATGCATTTAATCTGTTCCTACACTAAAGTATTGTAGTAAAGGAAACTTGTCTCAAGATCGCTTTACTAGATCTCACGTGAGACGTGACGGATCGTTTTTTGATACAGACGGCTTTTACGGTCTGTAATATCTTAAGGTGATGTCGGAAGTTCGTTAATGGTCTTTAACTCATTGTAATCAGGTTGAGGAAAGCAGAGTTAGCCTTCTAGCAAAAATCATACATTATACATTGTATTCACAATGATTAATAATAATGACCAACGTGATTACAAATGTCTGATAATTGTTAGATTAAATGTACAAAAAAAAAATAGTTGTTTATTTAGTCGAGAGAACAAGACTTGTAGAACTTTATGCATTCTGATCAGTGTAATACATCAGACAAATGACTTACGGTATGAAATGGGCAAAACCCACGAGCAAATTTAACTTTATTTAAAGAGGAATAAGAAAAAGGTGTCTTTTTAACTTCTTACAAATCTCAGAGCTTCAAAAACAGCTGATTGATTGTTGACTTGTTTCTATAAAAAAAAAATTCTGTAAATTGGGAGTTGCTTCTTAAAAAAAAAAAAGTGGGGAAAAACAAAACGAAAAAAAAAAAACCTAACATTTTCACTCTTCCTCTTTATTTAAAGTCACATTTTGTGTGAAATAATCCAATGCAATCCAGTCAAACATCATTGTTTTGACCAACTTTCTGAAGAATTTTGATTTCTTATTAAAGCACTTTGTTAACCTGGGACTTAATTAAAGAGTATATACCGGTAGATATTTTTTTTTTTTTTGCTTTAAGCTGCTTTTTAGGTATTCCTTTGTCTTTTTTTTTTTTTTTTTTTTTTTTTAGTTTTATATCTTCTTCCTATATAAGCTAATGTCTGAAGCAATGTCTCTGTGTACTGTGAAACATAGTTTGAATATTTCAATGTTTCCTATTGTTAACTCATTGCATGGTTCAGCATATTATTAAGATTTCATAGAGGGGGGGGAAAAAAGTACTAGTTTCTACTTTCATAGTTAGATTTATAAAAAATTTCAATCAAGAAAGTGCAAATCCAAGATGCATTTAGGCATAACCAGCAGCTCTGTTATGTGTAAGGCACATGCTACGTGTTTGAGGCTGTATTTTAATCAGTTACTTTTGTTTTTGTAGAGAATTTCTATAGCCTAGCCACTAGAGAAGCATGTATTGTATAAGCAAAAACAAAAAAGAAGAAAAAAAAAAAAAGAAGCCTAAAATGAATTTTGTAGGACTCTAGCCTCTTGACTTTGTGTAGAACATATCGGCCTCTAACTCTGAAGTGCCTTGCCTTAGTTTTAAAACGATACATTTAGGATTTCCTAAGCAGATTACAAGTAGTTTAAGCTTTTGCGCGGGTTTCTACATTACGAAGTTATACGTGTTACTTCATTCTATAAATAGTGTAGTGTATCGTGTAGTGTATAGGGTTTGTACACACACACTTTCATTTGAAATGATGCCAGTGTAGAGCACCGAATTCAGTGAATATTTCTGAAGAAAAAAAAAAAATCTGTACCTCCCTCTTGACTTCCAATTCCGAGATCAGTCCGTAAATTTAGATAAATACCGGACATAGCCATTGGGTTCTGAAAATTTAAGTATTTCTAAGGTGGTCTTGGACAAATTTAGACGACTGTTTATTTGTCAATCATAGGGCTGTCACTTTTATTGAGATATCGATTCTGATTAATTCTACGTGACATGCTGGTTCTTGTCTCAAATTAAGAGATCTTTCGGGTAACCGCTACTGTAGAACTCCATAACCTTAAAGCAGACACTTTTTTAACTTGTAATTGCGTCGTATGTCTCCACGCAGCGGAGCTTATGTGGCGACGCCATACCATATACCAAATACTTGGTTTTTACTAGGGCTGTCAAACAATTTTCAATTTTTAATTTGGATAATTGTCTGACCTGGAGTTAAAGCCTCAGCTAACGCATGCTTGGTATTTGAAACTCCTGGAGTGTGTGTAAATAATGTGTATTAACCACGTTTAAGTTCAACGATTACTGGATGGTCTGTGGAATTGTTGAATTATACACAAATTCAATCAAATTAACATTTTTAACGGCGCTAATTTGGACAGCCCTGGATTGAACACATTCAAGCGTTGCACTACAATTGTTAGGTCTCCAAACAAAATGATCTTAGTGATTGAGTTATCTTAGTGCAAGGTCTTTGAAAAGAGGTGTCCAAGTTGTCAGTTTATTTCAAAAACCCAACACAAACTCATTTATTGTGAAAGGTTCAATCCTTGGATTTATTCCCCCAAACCCAGAGAGAAAAGTCCTGAAGACATTTCACTCTTGCCACATAGTTACAGAGTTACCAGTTACCGGAACTGATGCATTTCTTGTCTTGTGTTAACACCATTGCATCAGTGTGTCCTTTGATGAGCAAAGATTAACTGCCCTTAGTGTGCACCACCACTGGATCACTTTAGACTAGGGGTGTTAAACATATGGCCCGCGGGTCAAAACCGGCCCGCTTGGGGTTTCAATCCGGCCCGCTTGATGAATTTTGAGAATGAGAAAATACACAAAATGAGTTTGACACCCCTGTTTTAGACCCTCTGAAATGTTCTACTATTGGTTGTGAAAAGATATGCTGGTTTAGGTTTCAAAGTGACAGCCCTAATAGATGAGAATCATTCTAGAACGAAAGGTGACGTCGCTGAAGCACAGACAATGGGATTGACAACTAGCGGTGGTCGCAGAGCTGTGGAGTCTCGGTGTCTCCACGGGTAATGACAAAATAATGCTGTTGAATTCCGTATCCAGAAAGCACTTAGTCTGAGGATCGCTCTTTCCTCTCTTGACCTCTCGTTGCCAGTTCATTTCCATGTTCGTGGTGCTCTTTTTTCGGCAGCTTTCGGTCTTTTTCTGGTTTGCAGTTTAAGGTTTGGGAGTATGCAGACGTAGAACATTTGAATTTGTACAGCTACATAATAACAAAAATAAACCTGAAACAAAGACTTTTTTTTGTTTTAGGTTTTTTACACGTTTTGCAGCAAATGATGAAGAATCCTGTAATTTTATGTTTAGATTTCCTGTGTCTTTGTCTGCAAGCGTGCGCTTACCAGAAGCTTTGTTCTTAGGTTCCTCTAATTGAAATGACCTTCTACTGTGTTAAAAAAAAACAAAAAAAACATCTTTTTTTAGCTTCAAAGTCAATAGAAAACTCTTATCTCCAGGTAAACATATATATATATACACACATATATACATATATGTATGTATATCTTGTATATATATATACACACATATATACATATATGTATGTATATATTTATATATGTATGTATATATATTTACATATATTTGTGTGTGTATATATATATACTATATATATTTGTATATGTGTACATATATATGTGCGTATATATATATATATATATATATATCATGGGAAATGCATTGTTTACATTCACATATATGACAATTAAACCCACAGGGAAAGATGACACAATATGGTATTTTAGCATTTTCATTAAGAAACTTCAGCATTAATGGCAGGCTAAATACATGTGGTATTGCATGTTATGGGACGTATTAACAAGCAACAAAAAAAAAAAAAGTTTGACGGTGTCTCACTGCCAGGTTATTTGTATTGACCTATTTTTAGTGTGGTAAAGGCTTAATGACTTCTGCAAGCTTTGCTGCTACTGGTAAAAAAAAAAATTAAAAATAATAAGGTATTACTGTTTGTTTTTTTTTTTTGTTCCTTTTTCCGTGTTATTCAGATAGATATTTGAACGTTCATAGTGCATCCACGGGTCAGATTTCATATATTATAAAGTAATCTTTTCTAAATAATCTGCATTTAACTCGATCGCAGCGTCAGCTGATAGTTGTTCATTTCTATATCTGGTCCACTCGGAGTGAAAGTACTTTTGTAAATCTACTTGGGATGATGTCATAGACCTTCTACTGTAGATGAATCCCCCCGCCCTTTTTTTTCTTTTGTTCAATGATTTACTGAGGGTAGATGTTTTTTCTAGAATGCCCAACTTGTATACGCTGAATCAGCAGGCAACTAAATCGAACGATGTCTAGTGTGAAGATGTACAAATTAAACCAAAGTGGTGTTCTAATGATGTATTGTAAAGAGAAAAAAAAATAGACACTTAATAGAGAGCAGTTGATGTCAAGGAATTTTAAAAGTCCTCCTTTAGCTCGAGGTCGTGTAGATAAACCTGAGAGTCAGACGGTGGTTGTGCGAGAAGGGAATTCTGTTTTAGATAACTTTGCTTTAACATGTCATTCGGTAGAACCTTCGTGTATATCTATATGGAGTAACTAACAAGACTATGCCAATGCGTTCGCTTACAACATGAAACAACTCGAACCTGTTTTTGCGGTTTTACCAAAGCCATGTACGTATCATTACTATTACCATTGTTTTCCCTCTACTACACTTCATTATTACTTTAGTTTCAATATAGAAAAAAAAAAACCTAAATTTTGATGTATTGAATATTCACCTAGTACCTTAAATACATACGTGGTTAATCTACAGTAACCATAAGCATCTTTCTCTTTTTTAGGTTAGCTATAGTGAGTTGATACACATTTAATTAATAACGTATTGCCTGTTCTTCTTTTTTTGTGCTAAGTGTATGTTGTCGTTTATGGCACATTTGTGCAATAGTGGCTAGCACATGCTGACCTTAAGCAAAGATGCGGCGTCTGTTCTATTCGTAGTCAATCGTGAAGGAACATCAGGTAAATTTTGACAATTTTTTTGCTTTTTGAAGTGGCCATACAGACTTCTCGACAGTACTGTGTTTTGTTTCTTGTTTTTTTTTTTTTTTTTTTTATCAACTTTGCTTAACTGGATAATCACAGTCAGTCACCTTTGGAAATTGAAATGTATGCATCATTTTGCTGTTATAACCGACCTAGATGTGAGGTGCTTTAATATTTGCTTTTCATCTGTGTAACTTGTGGTCCAATTTTTTTTTTTTTTTTCTCAATTGAATGACTAGAGACAGAGAACGGATGGTGATGGGGACAAACATTAAATGGAGATACAGACACAATAAAATAAGTGGCATTGCGATTGGAACCTTTAAGAGACCCTTCGGTTTAGAGGTCTGTAGAGCATACAGTTCTTTATCAGTTTGTTAAATTTCTACCAAACAAATTACATTGAACTCAACCTGTGCCTTTTGATAATCACAAATGAATTGGTATTAAATTAATATTTTTTAAAATGGCGCCATAGACAGTGCATAAATAAATGGACAAAGTCATTGGGTTGCAAAAGTAAAGCTCTGGAAGTAAGAACTACATTTTTGAAGTATTAGAAGTAACTGAAGTAAAACCTATAGATTCTATATCATAGATGCTAACTCCCATTGGGAATTTAGCACCTCAAATTGACATTTTCAATTGCATATGGGATCGATCACAAGTTTAGGGATACTTGTTAATACGAACTGAAGTAAAACCTATAGATTCTATAGCATAGATTTAGGGATACTTGTTAATACATATGGTGTCAATCGTTATTTTTATTTTTATATCGTGTTTAAAATGAGAGGAAATTAGCCAAGTGAGGCCTGCTGTACCAAGTGACGGAGGTGATGCCCTAACTGTCCTAGGAAAAACACTGTATGTCAAAAATGACCACAGAGCTGAATTCGTCATTGTCAACGGCTGGATGCTCATTGGCCCAGTTTATTTGTGCTCAGACCCTCTGTACATAAACCATGTCCAGTTCTTATACACTGTCTATGAATGGCACTTTTCACAGAAGAGCAAAACAAACAATGAATTATTGAAATCAAATTCCAGTGCCTTACAAACATTTTTCGTGGACAGCAAATGTAATTTGATGAGATTGTTTTTTACCATTCTATTCAGCAAACTTAAAAAAAAGTGTCAATACAAAACTCTCATATTCAAAACATTTTTGAACCTAATTTGTCAGCCACTAAAAATTACAAAAAAAAATGTTTGTGAGGAAAAGCACCAAAATAGACGGCGTCTTATAAAGAACTGTAGTTGATGTTGCCAATATGCTCTGCATTTGGAATAGTTTAATCTATTTTGCATTATTCTTAGTTTGTTTTGTTTTTTTTGACATTTTTTTGTTTTGTTTTTTATATATATATATTATAAAATGGAGCCTGAAGATTTATGCAATCTTATACATGTACAGTATATGAGTATGATGTGTGGAACTGTTGAAAAATTAGCGGGAAAAAAAAAAGTAAGTGATCTGAATGTGGAACTGCTCGTTTCACACACTGTAATAAAGGTTTGCATTAGAAATGTTATTTTAATCTTTTAAAGCCCTGAAATGTTGAATGTATTGTTCTCAAATTGAATATTCAATGAATGGGTCACTGGATAGTAAGGAGCCTGTTAATTCCTTATGATGTAGCATCTAGTTTTGAACTGCTATTCAATAGAAAGAATTAATAGAACTAAAAAAAAAAACATGTTTCCAATTTTTTTTTTTTTTTAATTTCTCAAGGTAACATAAGGAAAGAAATGCACTTTTCTCGGGGTAATACTGCTATTTCACCGAATGTGTGTTAAATCTGAGGAAAATGCATTTCAGGGTTATATCGAGGTCAGCAAGTTTAGAATTTATTTATAAATAGAATAAGAAATAAGTCCCTTATTTTGTGACAAGGTGTATGGCTATGTAGGAAATTCTCTACTGGTATTATTTGTGTTGTGAACACAAAAAAATTGGTGCAAGTCTTAGATTACTATATTGTTCTCTTTTCTTCTTTTTTTTTTTCTTTTTTTTTTACATTTCTACATTAAGGATTGTGTAATGCATTATTTCTGTAGTGTATAACTATTTTGTTAACACTTGTTACACTACAGGTATGCAATGGTTTACAGAGTTCACAGAATCATTTTTAATTTTGAGAATTAAAAATTTTTTTTTTTTCCATTTGACATGTGCGTTACTTATTGTCTCTGGTACAATTTGTGGAATAAAAGTCGTGGATGAAACATGTTTGCAGGTAATTATGGCGGGAATGTCCGATGCCGCATCTTGAAGTATCTCCCGATCTCAATGTGAGTTCGATACCTTCTTTTTTCTTGCAAGTTAATTTGAGCAATTCATATTTAATGAAATATAATTTGACAAAACAACACAAACAAGTGTTTTTTCTACTTGCTTACTTACATCAAGTGGGCCAGATGGAACCCCCCAGCGCAGTTAGTTTCCCAAACTTTTTTTCTGACGACCCAAAACAAAAATCTCTTGCAACCCCCCTGAGGGTCGCGACCCAGTCTTTGGAAAACAATGCCCTAGCGGGCATAGTAAAATATTTCCATATCATTATGTAAAAGCTTCAATATTTGAAATCTCCTAACTTTTATTTGCTTTACGTAATAAAAGACTCACTTTTCAGTTTACATTCTGCGTCATTTTAAATACATGTTTGCGTTCATTGCTCCTTATCCAAAACGCTCATCCTTCGTGCCACTAGGTGGCAGCCTGACCTAAGGGGCCAACCCAGGACCTCTGAGTGGGCGGCTGCAGCTGGGCTGCATTTTCAGGGAATTCAAGTGTCTTCCAGCAAATCGGGGAGTCATTGTTGAACAAGCGGGAGGAGGATTTTTGTTTGTTTTAGTGCCACAGACAAAGGTTATCTGGATCCAAGTCAAATATTTCTGCCAAGTGCTGATAAATGATTAAAGAATTAGGGCGCACATTTCCTTTAATAAATGATAAAAGCACTTAAATGACTTTAGTTTAGCCTTGATATTTAGAAACATGAGTGCATAATATTATAATCAGGGGTGTCAAACATAAGGCCCGTGGGCCAAAACCAGACCGCTTGGGGTTAGAATCTGGCCCACATGATTGATTAAAAATATATATATATACATAAACACTTCATGTTCAGGAACTGTTTCATAAGTTTAAACTTCACTAAATTTGATAGTTTATCGAATGTACTTTTTGCATGAAAACAAATGGCGAAAAAGACAAAAGAATCAACATGCTAACTTTCATTTAGCAGCTAACTGCTATTTCTGTCTGAATTCGTAGGCCATATTTAGCCCTGTCTTGATGTTGTTTGTTTGTGTTGTGCACAGTAGCAAAACATCCTCTTTAAAAATCCATTTAATGTCTATATTTATGGAAAAACATGTTATCCCTCTTTAAAAATCCATTTAATGTCTATGGAAAAACATGTTATATGCAATTACTTTTTCCCACAATGGAAATGTGAATTTTAATACACAATATATTGATAAATTGATAATTTAAACTTTTTTTTTTTTTTTTTTTTTGCTGAATCTAACTCTATCTACATGGTTTCATCAGGAATTAAATTAATTCGATGAATCAACGATTTCTCTAAACATGATCAAGTGCAGCTTTGGTAGAATTCCTCATCAATATCCCGGAGGTCCTGACCAGCTAGATGTAGTGGGCTGCTGCAAGTAATATTGTTGTGTATGGTGATGGTGGTGTCCGGCTCTTCACCCTCTGCGTGCGTCTTCACCTGTCGGGGCACCACCGATGGATTCGTTAAGCTGTAGTTTCTGAGCGGGAGGCTGCTACAGTCACATTTCCAATGGTTCCCAGTCAGCAAAAGTTTCTCCATATGCTGCGGAAAATCAGGCAGCATGTTGGTCAAGACATTAGCCCTCAGGTCAAGGTAGCGCAACCTCGGAAGGAGCAGTTTTGTGCCATTCTGCAAAAACTGTTGACATTCATTGTTGGACAAAAGCAAGTACTCCAAGTTCTTCAGGCCGAAGAACATGTTTGTTGTCAGGACCTCCAACCTGTTGAAGCTCAGGTCCAGTCCTGACAGGCCTGCTAAGTGCAAAAAGCTTTGATGTTCCACCACAGAGATGTTGTTGTGCTGCAAGAAAAGTCTCCTCAGAGCAGAAAGCCCGTCGAACGATTGGGCCGTGATCCTCGTCAGACACCCTCTGTCAAGATGAAGGCTGTGAAGCTTCGAGAGACCTTTGAAGACCTGATCTGGCAGACTTAGAAAGCAGCTTCCGGAAAGGTTGATAACGGCCACATGAGAGAGTCCAGTGAAACTGCCAACCTGTGCCTCCTGCACTAGATTGTGTTCCAACTCTAGAACCTCCAGATGACCGAGTCCTTCAAAGATCCTGTCCCCCAAGGCTCTGATCCGGTTATAACTGAGCCGTAGTTCCTCCAGATACTGCAGATCTCGGAAGGTCCTGGGCTTGATCCCATTGATGGAGTTGTTCGAGAGGCGCAGTACGTGAAGATTGAGCAGACCAACGAATGTGTCGTCGTGCAGGGACGCCAGTCTGTTATTGGTGAGGTCCAACCATCTGAGTGACTTCATGCCTGCAAAGGCTCTAGGTACCACAGTCACAATATGATTCTGGGCCAGGTAGAGCTTTTGCAGTTTGGTAAGTTTAACGAAAACATTGGCTTTGATTACCTTTAGGGAATTTGCTGTTAGATCCAGCTCTTTGAGCTCAACAAGATTTTGGAAAAGTTGAGGCTGCAGGTAAGCTAGTCTGTTTCCGGCGAGGACAAGCTCACGTAGTCCGTGTAGGTCGTGGAACGCAGTCTCGGGCAGGACTGCTATCAGATTCCAACCAAGGTTGAGTAGCCACATGTGTGAGAGTCCCACGAACAACCGCTCCTCGATTCTTGCAATGTGGTTGTTATGTAGACTGAGTGAGGCAAGGTTAGGCGTGTTCTGAAAGAGGGCACCCGGTAAGGCACGGAGGGAATTTCGTTCCAGGTGGATGTGTGCTAGGGACCGAAGTCCTCTGAAAGCTTGCGGGTCAATCGTTGTGAGGCTACCGCTTTGCAGATTCAGAAAGTTCAGGTTGGTGAGATCCTTGAAAGACATTGCTGGGAGAGAAGTGAACAAATTCCCATCCAGCCAGAGAGAATGAGTAGATGTCGGCATGTCAGTCGGTATTTGGGTGAAGTTGCGAGTACTGCAGTACATGTTGAGCTCCAGAGTGTAGTCATCGTGCAGGCAGGTGCAGCTCCTGGAGCATGGAACGGGCTCCTCTGTCGCCTTGTCTCCTGCTGGTTCTGAGGCTGCCAACAGCAGGAAGGTTCCTACCCAGAGTACCAGCGGCACCTTGGGTTTCATTACAGCTGTAAATAAATATAGGTATTATGTAACAATTAAATTATATACATCAATTAAAATTAGAAATGTTAACTGTTAAAAAATGTGTTGCGTTGCTATGTCAAAATATATATGGATTTATTTTAAACATATATAAATATATTCATATATATTTGTATATATTTATTTATAAATCCATATATTTTTTAACATATACTATATGTATATATTTGTTAAATGACTTAGAAACTTACCCTAATTGTGAGCCGTGGCCAGGATGAAAAATATGAATGACTGAACCTGGTGCAACTGTTTGCCGACTGAATGAGAAGTCTAAAAATCCAAGGGAGTCCAGTGCAGTGAGAGTAATTAACCCTTTACTTTCCTTCAGACCTAACCTGCCTGTCCATGATAAAAGATTTCAGCCTTGTTTTTATTGTCTTTAATTCTCAGACATTATATATTTTTTCCACCTCCAAATTTTGATTTGACTGTGTCCAAAAAAAAAAGAAATCCTATTGACCGTGATGGGAACTTTAATTTTTATTTTTTATTCTAATTTTGATTGTCTAATAATTGAACTTTAATCTATTCACATGTGACATTTAAAATGAGAATTTTAACCGCATATTGCATCTCCCTTTATAAGGCTCTGGCTGCCTATAAAGATTATATGTAAACAGACTTTGGTGTTTACGGATGTGAGGGTCCAGTAGGTTTTAAGGTGATGCAAAATGAACCCTGTGCCCTGAACCTGTGCGTAGATTTATTTCTGCTTCAACTGGACCCCTTTATTCAAGGAGCAGAACGAGATTAACGTGACACAGTCGTCCCGACATGTCACACATCTTATTAAATTAAATATTTGTTCAACCGCTGTACATTGTGCCAGTCACATTTTTGCAGCATTCGCATGGTTTGGCCGTACAGGATGTGGTCGGTGGCACCAGTGCATTTCCTAATCAATTACTGTAATGACTAACTTTCTGTTGACTCTTTTCCTTCTGTAACCTCTTTTGGACAGGTCATGCTCTACGGGACATTCAAATCCAGATAACACTGTGTGCTCCCGATCGACTTTCATTATTTAATTTGCCACTGATGTCCCTCTAACAGCAACAAGTGAAAACTATATTCTCCTCACTATATCCAAAGTTATAGTAATCTGTACCTCGCCACTATATCCAAAGTTATAGTAATCTGTGCCTCACATTTTCTTTGAGGTTGTGTCAAAAAAGAAGATACATTAATCCATTGCACAGCCATAAGTATGGCATTGTACTTCTTTCTTCTTTTTTTCCAATATATTTTAAGTCAATTGTTTTAGTATTATTTGATAATTTTATTAAAATTCTGCACACTAAAATAATTTATTACTGCACAAACGCATAAATACTATACAAGTCATCCAATGCCAGGCGATCTAAAACCAACGTGAACTAACTAATGATGTTTTCTTGCCAGCAGAGGGCACTGTAGGACTTGTTTGGAAAGTTCTCACAAGCATACAGGAAGTATTAAAGTTTGATATAAGGAAGCAAATAGGTTTGCTACTGAGTTAGTGGCCTGTAAGTAAAAAGAACAAGGCAAGAAACACACTTGTAAGAGCTGTCACATAAACCAATTAACATATACGTATGCACACACATCTTTGATATTATAACCTGTGAGGGGATCAACGACGTTAAAATAAACGGCGTTATTTTTATTTCAGTAACTAATTACAATTTCCATAGCTACAACGCCGTTACCGACACTTAAATGCCCCCCGTTATTTATTAAAGCTGCTAATTGAAGCTGTCACCTCACTGTCAGCCATTTTTATTTTATTTCTTATCTTGTGGGGCGAGGGCGGGATGAAACCACCGCTTAGTTAATGATAATTGGCTAGGACAGAGTAAGCTTTCATGTTAAGCCAATCAGAGGCACCAACTCACACACGCACACATCCGGTTCTTACACTCAAACTAGAAGCGGTAAGCGGCCACAATGGCGAGTCTGGAGAGAAAATTGGCGTTTTCACAACGTGAATACAGGCAGTACTTCAGTGTTCTAGAGGTAAAAGGAAAAATGTATATGTGAATGCGACATAATGTGCCGACGAAAAGTGTTTGTCGACTCAATTTGCACACGCTTTTACAAAACTAGTGGCCAAAACACCGTTGTTGACCCTGTTGGCGATAATAGTTGGCCTAGTGTGAAGGTTTAATTGTTTTAATTTACACTCCAGAGTTGAAGCACTTCATAGGTAATTGTTTACCTTTATTCTTAAGAAAATACTTTAACAGTTCATTATGTACAGAGAGTTAAAAGCAGTTTATATTGTTAAACTGTATTTTTGTCTTGAAAGTAATTGAAGCACAGTATTGAGGTAAAAAACATTTAAAGAATTCGGTGTAGGTACCTGTCTATGCAGTTCTGACTGATTGAACTGGCTAAGAAAAAAATGTAATTCTTCTACATATTTAAACATAAGAAAGGGCATTTCAATAGTTACTTTTATAGTGCAGTAATGAAATTATTTTAAGAGTAAGGGTGTTTCACTGAAAATCTGATTATTTTTACTTCTGGGAAAAATACCATTTTCAGTAGTGGTTAATATAAGCTGTCCAAAAACGTCTTATGTAGTCCAAAGCATTTCTTTGAGTCAGTGATCATCATTTTTTGTTTAAAAATGTTGTTCTTGAACCGAATTGTTCGAAAAGGGAGACGTTCAACAACCGAGGTTCCACTGTATATGCGTATTATTGTAATGGTTCACCCGTCTGTATCCCAGGGCTCTTGTTCCACATTTTAGTGTTATGGGGAGAAATGTAGGACATTAGGTATTTACATGTAAAATACAACCAAAAAACCAATAGTAGAATACATTATAGCATGGACTCATAAAAATGTAATGTGATTAATCATAGGAGCTGTGGCTTAATCACGATTATTCATGACTGTAATTAAAGCCTGATAAATCATGATTAATCCAGATAAATTAACATTTCAAACATGACAAAACCTTTTTCCCCTTAATGTTGCTGAAAAAGTAAGACAAATAACTGCAGAAACCATATTTTCTGGACTATAAATCACACGTTTTTTTAATCCTTTGCTTGGGTTTGTGTCTTATACTTAGATGTGACATATATTAGAATATCTAATTTCACCTGTTTATTTTCGCACTGAAAGCCGCTAGAGGGCACTCTAGTATCAGTACCAGTACCAGTATCTGCTACTCCTTTACTTCTGAAATCACTGACAGCCGCTAGAGGGCATTCTAGTATCAGTACCAGTATATGCTACTCCTTTACTTCTGAAAAGTTACATGTTTTGTTTTCTTATTCATTATGCAATGTGGAAAATGCAATAGTTGTTTTTAACTAATCCAAATGATGGAATTAATAATATGTGAAAATGACATGCTAAACTATTACTCTAAACAAATGTATCTAAAATACATTAACTCTCAGTACTGTGCCAAACATTACCTATATTTTCAGAATTTATCAGTTGGTTGAAGTAGTTTCTAGAACAAACACGCTTTCTTTCAACCAAACTTGAAAATACATTTGATTAACTCACTCGTTAAACTTGTCAAATTCACCATAGGTATAGGTGAGCCTCAATGTTTTTGTGACTACTAAAAGAATCATAATGATCCTCGAATGCACCATTTTATAAAATCACTTTGCATATTAAGCCAATCTTCTTTTATCGTCCATATTTCCTAATGTCTCATCTGCTGCATATTCTCTGCCTCTGAGGGACTTCCATAAAGACACTTGTGTGGTACACTGTGAGTTTAAGGTGTTCCTTCAGTGATATTAAAATGTCTGACAGTGGGACTTGAAGTCACACTGGAGAAGGGATTTGAGGATTTAAATAGTCACTATAGACTTATGACCCACCTGCCAAAATTGCTGCCTCGCTGAGTTGTTTAATGATTTCACACACTAAAGCTCCAAGACAGCCGCTTTATCATCTAAAAATAACTTTAAAGAAAAAAGCGCGTGTGCTAAGTGGTTTGAAATGACTCTTTGTTCTGTACCTTTATATTGTTGTCACACAGGGAAGAAGTCTTACTGTTCCATTACTATACGGAGCACAATCGGTGGTGCGAAATTAAATTGTTAGATAAATGACAACATGCTCAACTCTGGGTGTTAACTCCAGAGACTAATTGGCGATGTTATAAAATGTAATCGTTGGTACTTCATGTTGGTGTTGGTGTTATAGACCTGATAAGATGAAAATAAGATGATTCTAATGCACGGCCAAATGATTCAGAAGACTCAAGGGGGAAAAAAGTTAAGCTAATAAACATGATAATGTGAAAATGTAATGCTAATTAAAAGAATATTTGAGGCATCATCAGAAATTAATCAGTCTTACCCTTTCAGGAAATTGTCTGGGGGCTGGGAGGGTGTAAACATTTACCCAAGAATGAACTTTGAAAAAAAAAAAAAAGTCAATACACCACCAGTCAACATTTATCTCAACTTGAAACAAATATACAGTGGAACCTCAGTTTTCGAACGTTATTCGTTCCTGAAGGCCGGAATCAGCGTAAAATGGATTGATCCGTCCCTGGACCCCAGATGATTGCTTATTCAAACTTTTTCAATAGTATTTTGTGTACAAGTTCACACACGAAACCAATGAAAATAATTAGATCTAACAAAAAAAGATAAACACAACTGAATAAAGAATAAAGCTACAAACAGGAAAGGAAAATTTCATTCATTCCCTTCACAGAGATTGCTGTGATTTTTTTGCATGCTTAGATCATCAAGACAACCGTTATTTATCTTTCTGTTTTTATTTTCTCATTGAAGCTGTAATGCAATGTATTATAATAAAGGGCAAATGAGGTAACTGAAGTACAGAATAACCGAATGGAAGAATCAATTGAAGCTGTAATGCAATGTATTATAACAACTGAAGTACGGAATAACCGAATGGAAGAATCGGGTTGAATCAATCTTAAACATCATTTTTATTACGTGTCAGAGAACGTATATCTACAGTACATCACTCTAACTCTGTTTTTCCCCTGTATTTCCTTCAGTTTCAAACAGTGGCAGGCAGCACAGGACCCCAGAGGAATTTTAATGATTTCAGAAGTCAGACAATACAAAGACTGGGACATGTCCAAGGTGAGTCAATCTCGGTGGAGGGAAACACAGGCGGGGAGGTGGTGGGGTAGGCAGGAGAGAAACACTAGGTGTGATACAAGGCAACTAAAAATAACAGACATATTTAGTTAACAGAAGACTGAGCTTAGCTGCAGGATATGATTGTGACATCTGTTTCCTGCGAACGGGTAAATATTTACCAGTGGATCCGGTAGGGGGCAATCCTCCAACTGCTGCTGGTAAAGCTCTAGAGTCAAAAAAAACTAGGTTGAAGGTGTTAGCAAGGCTAGCTTTCCTAGCCTTGACTGTTGTACTAACTTTTAAAAAAATAATAAACTAGATACAAGTATAGATTGAAACTCTACTAACCGGGTTTATTAGCCATCATGGACAACAAATGTCCTACTTTGGAAAACCCTCCCGTGAAGTGGATGGACAGGCAGGACAGATTTATTTTTCTATTAAGGAATAGGAGAAAGAGGTCAGAATGTCTGTCACAGGAACTGACATTAACGTCTCCTTGGAGCCACTGTGAATAAGTGGCAAAGTGAGCCATAAATATCAGGACAATCTGTAGTGTTGCCAAACAGTAGAGGGACGGTCCCAGCTGTCCCGACAGAAGAAATTGACTCAGTCCAAAAAAAGGAAGCAATGCAACCAAATGATGGCTGCTGTCATGAAACCCCAATAGGAGGAACCGAGAAAAACTGGACATAAAGTGACCTGTTTTTGTCGTACCCACGGTAATGTCCTTTTATAACTTTCAAGGAACGTCCTAATGTCTCTTTAGGGTTCCTTTACCGATCTTGGAATTGAAGAATTCCCTCAGCTGTGAGATGCAATATTTTTAGAAAACAAATGTAATTTTGGTTCTTTTGTTTCAGACACCCACTGATAAAAATGGCACAGACAAACAGGAGTCCACAACGGGGTTTCTGTATTGTGTGATACTGCTTCTGTCCTCCGATGACAGGTATTCACTTTTTCAGATGCTTTAAATAACTTAACCTAAGCAGTACTTGAGTAAATATAATGTTGTAATTGACCTGGTATCATTTAGACCAAGGGTGTCAAACTCATTTTGGTTCAGGGCCCACATACAGCCTTATTATAGATGCCGAGTGGGCCAATCATAGCATAATTACCTATAAATAACAAGTCCATGTTTTCCCCCTTTGTTGTCCTGCAAATAAGTACAAGCATTAAATATTAATATTTAATGAAATATAATTTGACACTTTCAGAATTCATGTGGGCCGGATTGAACACCCCAGCGGGCAAGATTTGGGCCGCGGGTTGTATGTTTGACACCCCTAATTTCAGTCTAAGAAAAAATATTAACATATTCCCACAACCCCTCTCTTCCAAAACTTCGTAAACCTCTTGGTCATTTACTGCATGAACCACAGTAGGTACTTCTGCATATTTTGACCAGATATGTACGTTAGACTTGCAGTCACACTATTACAGATTTAAATATTAAAGAATTGCTTTAGTTACTGTTCTTGTCTTTATCCCAAAATAGGACAATGGTAAATGACATCCTGACTTGTTCTGCTGATCAGTCATGTGCCCCAGCTCCTCAGTCTTGATCTTTTGTCCTTTTTGACATGTTAGCTGCTTTGCTTAATTAACCAAAATGTGGACTTGGTTTCTCTGCAGTGGTTTGAGAGAGGGATTTATTTGAAGCATTGACAGTTGTTTCCAGCTCTGCTGATGTCAATTCATGCAAACTGACTCACTCCCTTATTAGCCAACTGGTGTGACTCTAGCAGGGAGTATGTTATGACAACTGAAGAGTTTCCTGTGCAGTTGTGTTTTTTTTTATGAATGAATGAAATCGTGTTCATATATTTCTTTTGTCTAATTGAAAATAAGATATAAGCTACATTAAAACCAGAAATGTTTTAAACATTAGCAAAAAATCTATCTTAAATCTATCTTAAAAATTTTTTTTAAAAAAATACCCCTTTAGTCAGACTAAAATAATTGGATTACGAAGCTGTGGAAATTCAGATTTAACAAACTGTTACATCAACCACTGGGTCTGAAATTGGCTTCCCTCAAGACTTATATGGTGGGCAAGTGATGTTAAAAAATAAAAAAAACACAATAATGCAAGCAAGTGCAAGTTTGTGTGTGTTTCCAGTCTTCACCATTAAATCCAAGGAATTCCCCAGGTCTTTTTACTTTACTTTACTTTGTCAAGTCCATGGCTGCGTACCGAACTTCGGTTCTTTTTTTTGGCACTGACCCAAATGCTTTAGTAGTGAATAGTACCAAAAATGCCTCGTCTTTTGGTGGGAAGTTCCGGGAACCAGCTGTTAATCACGTGATCAAGATCAGATCACGCTGCTGGTGATTGGCTGTAATGGTATACATAATTGCAGCATGCAGGAAAAGATAAGAATCGGTTTTGGCCCGCGTGCCGTATGTCTGACACCCCAGATTTAAAGTTTTTAACTATTGTTCTTGTTTCGGCACCGATTTTAATTTTGAAAACATGAAAACACTAAACAATAATGAACGTTAAAAGGAATCGGAGAACCTTTTGCTATTAGGCAAGTGCGTTAACCACACCTGCCCCTCAGTGAACATGACACTGTGACACTCACGTATCACTTCCATCGGAAACTTTACGTAGAAAGTCCAAAAGTCCGGCTTTATGTTTAAAGTTTATATTCTAATCCAAGCATGTAACTTTTGCGTATAACTGTGGAGAGAAGAATTATGTCATATTTAAAATGTCTTTTGTAAATGTGTGTTTTTTAAACAAACAATTTAACAAATCGTCTCCGAGGCAATTAAAAGTGGGCTGCTGTGAACGAACTCATTCCCAAAACCCTCTGAACTAGCAACTGTGGGACAATTCATTTCCTACCCCAGCGCTTCACTTAGTTTTTTTAAAACCAAGAACCCTTTCCTGAACATACATTTCCCTATAGATTTCCTGATATTTGATATATCGTGTGTGATCGTGTGATAGTGTTGCAGCATCAGACTTGCAGCAGTGTCGGATCAACACTTCTCACACTGCAGGACACGGCTCTACACCTGTTTATAACTAAATTAGGTTATTGTGTCGATTTAATTTCCACGGGGAACCACCCTCTTGGTAGGAAACATAATTTGCTAATTAACAAAAAAAGTCTCCCTGGGCGATTTTAAGAAAATGGCAGTCCTCCAAGAGGCAAATTAAAACTCAAGCTCTAACAGCAAGTGCAGCTGTAAACAGCTGTGATAATCAGAAACAGGTCCGGAAGCCACTGAGTGAAAGAGCAAAGAGTCGAAGCAAAGTTTTAGTCGTCCTGCGGTTTTGGTGGTGAAAGTGAGTGCTAATGTATCTGTGCGACATGAAAGACAGGTTCCAACTTTAACACATGGTCATCTGCAGATGAAGTGTAGTTTGCATTCCAATGTAAGTTTGACTCCCAAATGCGTAAGCACAAAATCCACTCTTTGCTTTGGGGTTTAGTTATTTAGCTATATTTACGTTGTAAATCACACAAAACATTCACAAAAACTGTGATAGCTGCTAGTAGACACTAATGCTATGTCATGTATGAACTTAAGGCTCTAGAACTGGGTCCATATTAACATAAAAGTAATGTAATTCCATTTATTTAAATAATAATAATAACCGCAATCACAGGACTAAATCCAATCAGCGGTCCATATGGACCTCCAATAACTTCGTCGGGGCTACAAGTACGGAATAGACAACAACAAAACAGAGTTATTAAAAAATAAACTTTAATGTAGACACATTACATTTTTTTTAACAGCTGATCCACAGAAGAACAGGAAAAATTGCCACAGACTGTGATGTGTGGAAATAAGTGAACCACCTGTCGTCTTTGCAGCGGCCACAAGTTTTCTTTTTCTTTTTTTTTTTTTTTATTCTGTGAAAAAACAAAGAGCTCCTTCAGTCGGATAAATTAATGCCAGGATCTGCAGGATATTTGCTGACCTTTTTAACCTGTCAGCTGGAATGTAAATGAAGTACAAAAAGAACCTCCTTGCTACAGTTATGCAAATACACAAGTCTAAGTCGTTGCCAGGCACTACCATGCGTTCTTTTCAAGGTTATCTAAATAACGGATATAATTTCCAACTTATTGACAGTAACTACGGGAACATGCAGCGGAATGATCATAAAAGTCCAAAGAAAGATATGTTTTCACCATGGAGCGGATATAAAAGTTGATAAAGTGAAGCCCCAAAATTGACCTTAACTAAGTGGTGACTGTGAATAGACAACAGTCTAATCATGGTAAATGATTTTACTTCTCAATTGACTTTATATCATCTGTAGAGATTGCATGACAGTCTTTAACAACAGAACGTTATCTATAGAAAAAAACAAAACAGTGCAGCGTTATCTATAGAAAAAAACAAAACAGTTTCCTTGTGTATATGAGTGCAGACTATGATTGACAGCCGGACCATCAAGCAGAAACCAGAAAACCAAAATATTTCTATCTTAAATTTTGAAAGTGAAGGCCAGATATCTTATTTTGAATCCTGAAGGCTATTTCAGTATAATCTATAGGTCAGGGGTCGCCAACGTGGTGCCCGGGGTCACCTGGAAGGCCTCGTGGACTACCTAAGGTCCCCACGTGGTATGTTCTAAAAATAAAACTAGTCAACAAGAGGGGCAAAAATTGTACTGTTACTGTTTTTTGCTGTTTTTTTTTTTGGATCAGTTACACTTTCAATAATTTCAAATGGGTGCAATGACGATGGTAAGAAGAGTGTCTATTATTGTATGTCACAGAACTGATTATTATTACATTGTTAGTATTTCTAGGTGCCCTTGAAGTAGCACTCAGTTTTAGCAACATTTCTAAAAGAAAACTTTAAATCAGACGATATTTGTATTGTACACAGGATGTGCAGGCAGAAGAGGCTGATTAAATAAAAATACCATGAATTGTTTTTAGTCCTAGGAAGTAGGGGTAAGACCAGGGGTCTCGAACTCAACTGGGCTGAGGGCGACCCTTTTTAATATAAATACTGTTTAATACTACAGTTCAACCACCAAGTACAAACCTTTATTTTTTCTCATTCCTAATTAAGACAGCTAGGTTTACATTGACAAAAACTGCGTCACAGACTAAAAATACCAGCCTAATATTCCTGAACATAAATTAGAAAACATTTTCATACAATAGTTTGAAAAGGTTCGGTTGATTCAAAGCCACGGATTTACCAAGACAAAGGTGCGCTGTGTTGTTATTTCTACTCCTTATTCTAAAACCAGTTTAGGGGTCACACATGAACAATATCTACACGTTATATATTTTGAAAAAGCAATTATCCATACACAGACCCACATGGGTTTATTACAAGTTTGATTTTTTTGTTGTCGTTGACTGATTTAAAAACTTTCAGAAAAGCTGGTACACTTAAATTAAAATGTGTAGTTTGGAAGGACATTCTGCTGTCTTTACCTCTCAAACTTCCAGTGATCTATCCGATAAAACCTTAACCAAATGAGGACGGTTAATTCTGAGAACAATTGTTCAGAGAGTAGGGGAGTCAGCAGTTAACCTTTAAGCAAAAAGGTCAGAGCGCTGCTCAATGCCCCTGACCTTCAACCTTTAGTTGGTGTTGCATTAGGACCAGCCATGCTTTGGTGATTGTTGTTTGTTGACTACACTGTGCTGCTGCTGCTGCATTAAAGCGCTTCAAAGTAATGGTGCAGGGAGTCCAGAGCCGTAGGTAATCGAAATAGACCGTAAATCAGTCATTCTCAACCACTGTGCCGCCGTAGATTAGAGTGCTGTGACCAGATGCAATATCGGTTTAAAAGATTTTAATTTTGACTGCCTTAATAAAGTGTATCAGCTTTTCTGTTACTGTAATTTATAACAGAAATAACGGACAAATATGCATTGAATTAGTATTGAGAGCTGATTAGAGTGTAATGCAGGTCTAATCACTGATATTAATAATTTGTTAAGCGTTATTGTTATGTTTAAGCATTAACCTTAGTGCTGATTACAATACTGTATGTACTTACTCCATCATCTTTAGGTACAGTGATGGCTAATAAGTCCTGTTAGACCCCAGCTTACCAGTAGGTGGTCTGGATTCTAAATGCTTCACGATACATCCACAACTGAAGCTGTCCATGCTGCGTTATTATCATTATCATTAGCATTCGTGTGCAGACAGTCCCTCATACTGTCACTTCTGTCTTGCTGTTGGTGACAAAGTATGGTTGCGGAGGCAGATAGCGAGTGGTGTGCAGCTCCTTTTCAATGACGCAGAGTTTTCTCGGGACGTAGCTCTGTCGTAGCCCGAGCATGTCTTTGCTGTCGAAGGACCGCCGCGCCCCTGGGCTGGCGACACTGCTGGGGCTGTAGTACAACGACTGGGAGCTGTGACTCATTTGACTTTGAAATGTGGGTTCGTTGTGTTTGGTGGGCGGCTGCTTAGCCGGGCTGTAAGGATTGCTCGGCTCTGGCTCCGCCTCCACTGCTTCCATCGGAAGGGTGCCCTTGATTGACATCTCCATCAGTTGTCGTTGGCTGCTGTGGAAACCATTGTTGGCTTTCTCTGCTAAGAAAAACATAGCATGACATGTTAGCTTTGAGTAAAGCTGTTCATATTCTTATTCATAGGTGATTTGAATAATAGCTAGTGTCTTTAAAGTGTCAACTGTTGTTCAATGAGTCCTTTTTTTAGGGAAGAGTAAATCATTTGTCACAGTGACCTCTGCTTTTAACCATCACCAAAGTAGGCAGGGGGTGGTGGTGGCGGCTTGGTGTAAGGAAGCGGACTTGGGTCCAGAAGGTTTCAGGTTCGAGTCCACCAGCTGCCTAGAGGTGCTCTGAGGATGGCACCGTCCCCACACACTGCTCCCTGCTGCTGCTGCTTAAAGCTGCCCCTTTCTCACTTTGGTGATGGGTTAAAAGCAGAGGTCACATTCCGTTGTGTGCTGTGTCACAATGACAAACAAATCAAAATTATAAACAGGCAAACAGACAAATGACTTGTACGCTACCTGCATGTCAAAACCTACTAACATCCCTTTAATCTAGTGTTGTTCAACCTTTGGGTCACAACCCCATGTAGGGTCACCTGGAATTCAAATTGGCTCACCAGAAATGTCTAGTAATTTATTTTTAAAACTTATGACTAAAAATAAAATTATATTCTTTCAAAAGTCATGATTTAAAAACACCATCTTAAACTATATTCTTTAAATTTCATGAATATAAATCCAATTCAAATATAATGCAACATATCTGAGCTGGTGCATCTTGATTGACAGATGTGATCACGTGACTGCACAAGATGAGGTCAAATGAGGTCACAGGCCAAAGGTTTATACAGCATATGCTATGCAGAATGTGTCCCATGAACACTGAACCTGTAGGTGGCACTCTTTTTCTCTTGCATCAAACCTGTCACGTTGTTTGGCTAAAATATTTGGCTCAAAAATAGATGTCGTCTTGTTTAGTTTTTACTCAGATGTAGGCCATAATCTGGAAACAGATTTGGGCCACTTAAATTAAAAGAATATAACCTGTGAAGGTGATTTTTTGGAAAACAAGTGAAGCTCTGTCTCATGTAAAATATTATAAAGTGAAGCTCTGTCTCATGTAAAATATCATAAAACAAACAGTAAAATACAACTCTTTCTTTTACATATTATTTATTGGGATCAAATGTGGTCAACTGTATGATTTCCTTTAGAATCAGATCTGATGAGATTTTCTATTCATAAGTTCCCGTACCAGCAGAGTGTATTAAACTTGTATTAAAACTAGTTGAAGCATAGTCTTATTTGGCTTTTATAGAGCAGCACTTTTTCACTGCAGGGCAAGAAGCTGATTGGATACATGACTTAAAAAAAAAGTTTCTTTTACTTATGTTCTTCACTGGCTACAGAAAGGCAGTGTGTAGTTGTGAATATAGGGCTTATTCTTCCCAGAAGGAGCTGAAAGCTTTTTCTATGGGCCACACTTTATGAAAGTGCAGTGGAGAATTATTTTTTATGTAGAAAGTTCGCCTCTGATGTCTAAGACAACCTGCGGCTGGTTTTGTTGTCCATGCTTCCCCATTTTTCTCCATTCCACCATTTTAATTTATACCGTATGTCTACAGAAAATATAAATTCTCTACATATTTTTATTCAGTATATAATTCTTCTAGTTTAAGTCCTGCTTCTGGTTTATTCTGATTATTTTTGGCTTTCCACTTTTATCCTGGGGTTGGGGTTGAATATCTGTCCCGACAGCAAGCTGCACCTTGTGGCAGAGTTGCAGAAGGAACCAAGAGTAGAATTTATAGTCACACTAAATAACTGTCCCTTAAAGCTACTGGGTAGAGTGGACACGTTTCAACTGCAAGGTTGGTGGTTAAACTCTAGCTTCTGCCAGTGTACAGTACAGTACATGCTCTGTACTTAACCTCAAAGTACTTTTGTTCTTTTGGCGGGAATTGAAATTAAAAAAACCATCATTACATGTGCATATATATATATGCACATATATACATCTATAATGTGGCTAATTATCAGCAGAGATGTCATATACCACAGAGGAGTACTGTATATCCTTTAAACTCCATCATCAGTGCAGGTCAGTTAACATCAAAACTCTAAGGATGCCTCATATCATCATGCTCCAACTCATTTGTGTTTTGATGTCTTTCTGATTGCCTCCCGTCTCTTCCACATCAGCTCAGATTTGCGCTATTTTTATTTTCCCTAAAGATGGGTTTCTTGGACAGCACTGTGGCAAATTAGTGGTGGGGAAACTACAGCTGGTTGAGTGAGTCACAGAGGGTGAGCTGTTGTATGTGATTGGTTATCAAATACATGCATGACATCCCTTCTTAAATTTGGCTGACAGATTCATGAAGCGTTAATAAACAGACCCTGGCTACAAATTTTATTTCTTTCTGTATTTATGGTGTTTATGTGTTCTAAAATAGTGGATACTTCTAGTAGTGGATCTATTACACAGGATATGGTTAAGAAACCTAACACTTGAGTTTTACTATTAGGGGAAAATGATACAATATTTCTATAAATATATGCACAGGGTTACTTCCTTTATATTCGTAGATGTGGTCATGTCTGTGGCGATGTAATTTTAGACCGATTATAATCTGTTTTTAATTACCTCACAACACCTCCACCGTTCATGATATTTTAAAATTTCTTGTCATAGGTTCTTACTTTGTACCCAGCTGTGTCATAGCTGGCTTCACAAATTAGTACAAATATATGCTATGTCTAAAATTAGGCTTCTTCTCTGTGTGATCTAAATAAATATGTAAAAGAGAATTTTAAAAAATGTTTTCTGCTATGTTATGTCTTGATCGCGTGAAGTACATATGCCACCTTCCATGTGACAGAACATTTAAACACTGAAAAAGAGAGACTAAATATGTAAAAGAGAATTTTAAAAAACTAAAAAAGAGAGATAGCACAACTGTAGGAGGAGGACTTTGTATTCCTTTCTTTGATTCCTGCCAGTATATCAGTGTGGTGTTCAACTAAACAGGCCCCAGTTTCACACTGTGAAAGTAAACTTAAAGTAAATTGAACCTTTTGGGGATATTGTTGATCAGTGGTGCATCATGGGCTTGTTCTAATGTAAATGATGGACTGTGGCTCACAAAAGGTCTTACCCACAGCCTTGAGCGTGGCGTACTTGTTGAGCTCCTTGACAGGCTTCTCTTGCTCATAGGGGCTAGTGATCTGTTCCACATCTGGATATGGCCGAGTTACCAGAGTGGATGTTTGGACAATGTTGTTCATATGGCTGCTATCTGAAAAAAACAAACAAACAAATTTGAATATATAGTCAACAATAGTCTGGGAAATTAAGGTAATTATATTATCTAAATTACATAAGATTATCATTAAATAACATTAAAGCTCTATTATTACTGTAAACATAAATAAGTAATTAGCAGTGCATTAACACATTTTAAATTGTTACTATCGTTATTTTGAAATGTCAGGACCCCGTGGTTCTAAATACACACCATGAATCACAGGAGGGCGTGGGGGGATTGATCTTAACTGGCTGTTCCCTTGACGTCAACCGCGTCAACCAATAGGAGCAGTGCAGTGCTCACATAAATGAAAAAATGGAAGAAAAAAAAAACCTTCCAGACCATGGAATTGATGGAACTAAATTGAATATTATGTGTTTTTCTATGCCATTTACCCACATGGCTAGCTTAATAAAGTGTTTCTTATTCCTCTTATTCTTATTCCTTGTGTATCATCTATCTTCATGAAGACCAAAATGTAAATCAGTCTCGTAGAACAATGTGAATAAGGCCTATTAGGCTGTAAAACGAGGCGAGCTTTTGTAAGCTTTCTTGTAGCACTCCAGCGGGTGTGTTAAGACTGCCCTTTAAAAAACTGTACTTATCCTACAGTAGACATCTGGTAAATTAAAGGTTGCACACTAGATAGACTGGGCTCCCTGCCTACTGGCATGGCAGAACAAACAGATGTTCCGAGTTTCTTAGATTGAAGGACATCATGGAACGTGCTAATTTACACTCAGCAGCCTCTTACACACAGTGTAAGGGGGAAATCAGTGCATCTGCTACAGTTTATAATAAAGGGTTTAAGAAGAATTCGTGAATTAATAATTCATGTTGTTTCTGTATCAAAGTATCGTGCTCTAGACATATACAGTATCTTCAAGTCAAGTCAAGTCAATGTCATTTGTTTCATGAAACACATCTGTCAACTGACTTTCCAGTCCATTACAGTATGTTGTCCCACTTCATTACCTCACAATGTGCAATGCTGTATACATTATTGTAGTGCGTAGTATAATATCCTACAACTATACCTCGCAAGTCCTGTATATTTGACCTCAGCTCTGTTCGTATTCTAAAACTGTGTTCATTTCTGCTATTTATACTAACATTTGAGCATCTTACAGTGGCTTTACACGGTTTTGTTGATCAGGTTACGGCTCAGTGACGATAAAGAATCTTGATTCTTGATATTTTTTTGTGAACAAAACACCACAGGAGATGTGGCAAGGTGTGCAAAGCAGCAGGTCAATTTCCTTGCTACGTGCAGTAGATTCAGAAGGTCATGAAGACGGTTCTTTAAACAGAAACGGTGAAAAGAGATATGGTGAGATGATTTTATAAAATTGGAAAACCTGTAAGAATAGTATCAAGAATACAACAACTCTCAACAATCACGCATATCTGGTCAGTCCTTTACCCCGAACGTAGCAACATTTGTTCATGAGACAGCATTGATCATTTGAGACAGTCCAAATTAATTAGCACAATGAAAAAAAATCCTTGCTGACCAATAGGGAATAAGAGACTAATTAACCTATTTTCATTGTTAGGGACCTGTTTTTTCCAGACACAGTTTGAAATAAGGACTATGTTCTCTTAACTTAATTTAAAATTCTCTTGGATGGATGGATGGCTAGTTCACGTAAGTAAGCCTTTACCAATTCTAGGCTAGATGAGGCTAAGTTGACTTTGCTAACAACCTCTGCCTTTTTATCTAGCTAGAGGGCTTTACCGGCAGATCTGTATCATCTAGCTAGCATAACTGCCAATGTCCCATTCAATACAGTGAGAATGTAAAAACACTTTGCTAATTTAAATAGGACCAAATACTTTCTTGGATTTAGTTTATATGACTAACAATTCCACAGGTTATTTGGTAAGAGAAACCAGGGAACCGATCTCTGTATCACATGTATCTGTGTTGCCTCGTCAGGTTCTGTTCTGAGCTTGTTGACCTGCTTCAGTTTTAAACAACTGGGCCACACTCACACACACAATGCTCTCATTCGGTGTGGTCTCATTTAAGACAAAACTGAAATTAGACCACCAGCTTCCCGATTTAACCTCTGTCATACACGTTGAGTCGCAGGTACACAACCGTTTCAAACTGTGACGCTGTCGGTGTTTATGTTAACGCTAATATAAATTACTTTATTAAAAAAAGTACACAACACAGAAAAACAACGGTGTTTAAAGAGTGTAATTCCTATCGTATATACGTTTCAGTTTCATGTTTACTTGGTTAAGAGTGTAAAGAAACACAAGGACTTTCAGCTTAATTTTTTTTTTGAGAGGAACTCATTAGAGAAATCCTTTAAAAGAGGTTCAGCGTTTACCCCTAGTCCCAAGATTCAGGAGTTCAATTTACTATTATTATTATTATTCATGGCTTCTAGCGCCAAGGGACATCATCAGGTGTGGCTTTGAAAATTATCCAATTTTACTTAATTGGTCTGAAAGAGCTGTTGTTTTTTTATTGCAAATGATTTGTCTGATGTTCATCTATGCAACAGTGACAAACAGCAACAATTAAATGTGTTCCCTCTAGGTGGCAGCAGATGGCTATAAAAACCAGAAGAAGCAAGCAAGAGTTTTTTAAGAAGATCTTCATGTGTCTCTTCAACTCCCGAAGTGTATCAGCATTGTGTTCATCTAAACAAGCCCAGGTCTCACACTGAGTAAGTACACAAAAGTGATACTTTGTTCAGGGGAAACATTCAGGTCTCACACTGAGTAAGTACACAAAGCGATACTTTATTCAGGGGTAACATCCAGCCTGATTACATGTAAAGTGGGCCAGACCGGTACAATCATAACATAATTAACTATAAATAACAATAGGTTCATGTTTTTCTCATTTATTGTCATGCAAATAAGTACAAGTTTAGTATAAAAAAAAATCATATTTCATATTTAAAAACATCACAAACATGAAGTGTTTGTGTATTTTTTGGCTTTCAAAATGCATTATGTGGGCCAGATTGCACCCCAATGGACCGGTTATGGCCAGCAGGCTGTATGTTTGACACCCCTGAGATAGATAATATATATGGCCTGGAGCAGGGGTACCCAATATATGGACTTCGGGCATAATATATATGGCCTGGAGCAGGGGTACTCAATATATGGACTTAATAACATAAGTTCAATGTGGACATAAATGACATGGTTTCGGTAGGACATGACAGACAGTAAATCAGTCAGCACCCCATAAGGGTGCCATCGTATTATATGGCAGTTGGAAAAAAAAAATCTGTTGTTTTCTGACTTAAAAATCCGTTAGAGATTTCTGAGCTGCTGTCAGAGCAGATGCAGCTGGAACACATTTGTATCTGGCGAAGAAGAGTCAGACTATCATGCACCACTGGAGCGTTGGCAGAGATGCTGCGCCTTTGTTCTCACTGGCAAAGTGCCGGGGAGTGAAAAGAGGCCACACTTCACAATTGCCCTGTGTCCACAAATGGCCACTAGGAAGGGAAGATGATAGTGGTGCTCCACAACGGAAGGCAGCTCACAGAAATCAGCAGCGGCAGTCTCTTCAGGAGAACGAGAGCTGGTCCGGCAGTCATAACAGATCACTGTTCAAATTTGACAGGCAGCATATGAGGAACAGGGGCTTCCACCGCTGCTGCTCACTTACTGCTTCTCACCAGTATCTGTAATATGGTGATTATTATATCTGGGGTGAAGTAACACACCTGCCACAAGAAGCACAGCTGGGGATAGTAGGGTGGAATTATCTGGCAAAAAAATGATATCGCCCAACCTCTTGTAACCTTACAGGAATTGCCTGTCAAGAAAACCACAGCCGGGCCTGTTCTGCTGCTAGCTTAGTTAATCAGAATCCCTCAGTCAGGTCTGTCAGTTACAGCAGCTGGCCCACTGCCATGGTCAAGGTCAGCCACCTTTATTTTCAACAACGGAGAATGGAATGGAGACTTTACATCAGGATTTCTTACATTGTCAAAGTGTTAACTTCTCAATTAGTCGTCCCCAAGGAACAGAAAGTTACATTTAAAGAGAACGAACACAAATAAGGTTAGTAGAGGGATTAAAACACCATTACAGTGCACTAGATAAGTACAGAATATAGACCTTGTATATTATTTTGTTTTAAGTACTGTCTTTTCCTGTAGCAGATACTGGTACACAAGCTTAGAGTGCCCTCTAGTGGCTGTCGGTGTGAAAATAACGAAAATAATGACCGCCCCTCAAGAGCCCTTTGAAAAACTCTGGCGCTCGGGCAAATATAGTCAATGTTGTCCACAATATGATTTTCTTATGCTGTTTATTGTTTATTAGTGTGGTGGTTAGCACTCCTGCCTCACACATCTGCCTTACAAGCAGAGGGTCATTGGTTCGAGCCCCAGTGAACAACATACTTAACGGCGCCTCCCATGTGGCAGCCTGTGTGGGTTGCAAAGACTCACACTGTGAATTTCCTGATTGTGGAATGAATAAGGGACTGTATTATTATTATTTTATGTACTTGCATGAAGAAACAAACACAATTCAACTCAATGACACTAAACCTCATCAGTCACCGGAGAACCTATTACCACATAAATAAGCTGTTTTTGAACAAATAATCAGCGGAGCCACAAGTATACAGTTGAGTGAATGTTTAGGCCGGACAGAGAAAATTAGACTTTCATTGACTGCGGCTCTCGAGTCAGTAAACCAGTTCAGAGCAAATAAGAACTCTCCTGTCTGGGTATCTGTGTAGGTGTGTGTGGGAAGCAATGAATGAGGGTGTCTCACAACGGCACGTACAAAAAAGCGGCAACGAAGAAAGTTCCAGGTTGTCAGCGGTAATTAATGTGTATTTTAAGTGATTGCTGAGGGCATGACTAATTGCTTCAGTCGCCTGCAAGAATTTGGACGGGATCTGTTTTTTTTTTTTTTTTTCCTTCTTCCGACACTTACATTTCCAGAGCTAAATTAGGAACAGTGTGCACATATACAGGAACGGCATTGGTTCATCTGTGAAAAAAAGAATCGGGTGCTACGTATATACGTAAAGGCAGGTGGAATGCGATACAAGTATAGGGTAGATGTTCTCCATAATGTGAATATTTTACATGTTTACGTGGTTGGTGCAGCCAAAAATGAATAGTACTTACGGAGACTGTTTACCGTGACTCTGGTTTGTATGTTTTCGTAGTGCTGGCCATATCCGATGTCTTCTCCGTGCTCGGACGCAGGGTGGCGAATGACATGTGCAATAGCCCTGGACAAAAGAGGGAAAATACCCCGGATGGCAAAAAATTAGATGACACATCAGCAGTGAAATTATCAGACAGATTTTAGTCGACACTCGGAATTTTATTTTTTTTAAATTGATTTAAACCGGGGGTGTCAAACATACGGCCCGCGGGCCACAACCGACCCGTTAGGGGGTTCAATCTGGCCCGCTTGATGAATTTAACTGCACAAACACTTCGTGTTCGTTATGTTTTGTGTAATAATATTTCATTAAATATAAATGTTTTCTAATATACTTGTATTTATTTGCATAAAAACATAGGGGGAAAATGTAGACTTATTGTTAATTATACTTAATTATGTTATGATTGTACTGGTCCCGCCCACTTGAAATCTAATCAGACTGTATGTGGCCCCTGAACCTAAATGAGTTTGACACCCCTGCTTTAGATATTAAGAGATTTAGGTGGGAAATTATGGCGCCTTAGTCCCATGTTGGCCCAGTCAGAGAAAAAATTAAGGTTATTCAACATGAGGTGTTACTTCCAAAATTAGCTAATTGTATAGTTGTGATGGGTAATTGACATTTAGCTCGTTTGCTAACTGCACGCAAACACAACATTCTCCTTAAGACATGTTTACCACTTAGGCATACTTTAACTAGATATTGTATTGTATTACTCAGATACTTAACTTATGATCTTCTAAGTTGTAGTTTTTTATTCTTTAGGATTTTTGCAAGCATGAAACCTCAAAGTGGGCTCTACTCTTACCCAGGTATCAATAATTAAATAAAATATATATATATATATAGTTACTGATAGTACATTAAAAACAGTTTAATTTAATGGGAACATATATAAAATAAATAAAATTAGAAGTATGTGTAACCCCCGCCACGTGGGGATAAAAAAAAATTCTGAAATTTAACTTGCTTTGTCTTTAGCTCAGATGAGCCATCTGGGTGGTGCGCCCCCCACTTTGGGAACCACTGGTTTAATTATTGATTGATTTTAAGTTGAATCTTGTGCGGTAATTGTGTGATGAGGTTATAAAGTGCTGCTGTAAGGAAATATTTGTGCTACCTTGACATATTCTCTCTGTGTGGACGATGCGTCTTTTCCAAACCGAGCTTCGTAAAAATCCCTATCAGTGCCACGATGGCTACGACCCCGCAGATAACGTACACAATGAGGTTGGTTTTATCCTTGGTCGAGTCCAGCGCCACGTCCACTTTGGCCGGGGGTTTGCCCGTCATCATCCACGGCGGGGTGTCGTAGTTCTTACAGGTGGTCTGGTCCAGCCTGGAGCTTTTGAACGCACAGCAGAACCTGAACCCACAGGTGCCGCAGCAGTACAGATAAGTGTCCGTCTGGCACACGAACGGCGGGTCCCACTGACCCATGACGTCGTAGTAGCCGCGGCACCTGTCCTCGACATGTGTGCTCTCCGTGGCGGAGTTCTCTGCCTCCTTTGAGTCGCTGAAATCGTTCACCATGGTGAACTCATCGACGCCTTCACCCGGCTCTCCTTCGGCGTCGCATACCATAACTTTCACCAGGAAGTAGCCG